ATAATAAATATAATTATATAATTATAATAAAATAAATAAAATTAGGGCTTAAAAATCATAACAAATGATGTCATTTGGTTTGATTTTTTAAAAAAAAATAATAACACATGGCTAAGAAACATAGAAGAGCATCCCAAAAGTTTAAAGAGTAAAAATATGAGAACAAAACAATCCTACATGGCTAAGAAACATAGAAGAACATCTCAACTTACTTCTATAAATAATAGAGGTAATTTGACATTCAAAATCATGGAGCCTTTTGGTGAGCACAGAGCAAACTATTCTTTCGCTTCAATTGAGCTCAAATTTTAGGCTTCAATCGAACTTCTAAATTTTTTTGAGTTTGAGCCTTTTCGAGTTCAAGTTTTAATATTATATTTCGAGTTCGAGTTGAACTTTATAATTTTTAGCTCGTGAGATTTTGAGTCGAGTTGAGCTTACTTTTAAAGTTTTTGAGTTTGAGTCAAGCTCAGCAATACTCGAATTTGACTTGGCTCGTTGAACAAACGACGTCGTTTAGTTTAATTTTTTTTAAAAGAAAAAAGTGAACCGACGGTTCAAACTGGTTTTGCCGATTTTCAGCCGGTTCACCCCGGTTTTACCGGTTTTTAGCCGTTTCTACCGATTTTCAGTCGGTTTATTACCATACCGATTTTGTGAAGTAACCGGACCGGACATGCCACCGGTTCACGGTTCAACCGGTTGAACCGACTGGTCCGGTCCGATTTTGACAACCATGGTATTTATAGTTTTCTAAATTCAAAAAAATAATAAGAAAATAAAATGAAGATAATCCAAAATAATTCAAATGTTGTTTAAATTCAAACTGGATCTTCGAGAAATTGTCACGTCAGACCCGCGTTGTGCCCAGTGTCGTGTTCATATCTCCAGTCGCGACTAGAAAATAAAAAAAAAATTGAAAAATTTGTCATTTTACTGTCAATTCCAGTAAACAAGTCACTGCACAAAAAAGTAAACGAAATACATTCAAATCAGTAGTGAAAAATTCATAAGGCAAGAGAATTAGCAAACAAAAGGTGTCAAATTTCAAACACTCATAAAGGTTGAACACAAATTAAATTTTAAGGTAAACACTATTAATAAAATAGATAATTGATCAAATAAAATTTGAATTTCATAATAAACACGTGAATACAGTCGGACAGATACATATCCACCACTAACTATACCGACTATTATACACTCAATACTATACAATGAATTATAAATAAGATTATCGTGGTTTCTTCAAGTATATAAAATTTGTTCTTTCTAAGATATTATCTTTCTTAGGTGAATTTAAGATATGATTTAATTGTACTTAATGAGATACATATCTATATAATGTATAAGTAATAATTGATTCTAGTAGTTCTGTCAAATAAAATATCTTAATCAACTAACAATGGTTGGTTCAAGTGATAAGCATTATGATAAAGCAATGTTTTGAGTTCGAGTCTTTGTGTATGCAGAAAATTCCTATTGAGAGATTCAACGGGTCAGTCCGGATTAATTAAGATGAAACCTTAGAATGATGAGGGCAACCAAAAAAAATCTTAATCAACGAAATATGTCTTTATAAACGAGTTTTTTCTTATGATCCTTCTCTGCTTAAATATGTTGATCCACCATGTTGAATAAGATACAAACATATTTAAAATATAATCGTAAATATAATTTATTATTTTACTTTTTAAATTTCGTTTATTGGCTATTGTTATTGAGATTTGGGCAATGAAAACGACATCTTTTTTCTTCCTCTTTTTTTTCTCACTTTTCCTTTCTATTTCGATCTTTTCTTTGCATCACACAAATCTTTTCCTTATTTTTATAGTTTCTTTATATGAATGTCACCTTTCAAATATTTATCTTTTAAAATAACATATTTTTTAATTATTTAAAAAATATTATTCAAATTTATCAAATATTTCATTTCGTACGTGTTTCTAGAAAATATTTTTAATAAAAACACGTTTTTCTTACTAAATAATCTCATGTTGTTTGAATGGTTAAGATTTTTGTCGTTTAATTTTTTAGATTTTTTAAACCCTATTATAAATATTTTTTATTTTCTTAAAAACAATTAATTAAAAATGTAAAATACTACTATTCTTAATATAAAGGGTAAATTACACCGTTCCTCACTAAATTATACTCTCCCTCCTATTTTTCTCACCAAACTTTCAATTTTTATATTTTGCTCACTGAACTTTACAAATTAAATCATTTTGCTCACTCCCATGTTATCTCCCTAACATTTTGATGATGTGTTGTTTTTTTAAAATTTTTAATATAAAATAATTGAAAAAATAACAAAAAACCATAAGGTGGTCGAATGCCACCGTCGACCGTCGTAGATGGTGGTCGTTCGGTCCCAAATTTCATGATTTGCTTGTCTTGACATCGTGATTTTGAATTCGACCTCCATTTTATCAGAACTTGCTTTAAAGTTCACAAATTTGAGATTGAAAATGAGGGAGCCGAAATGTTTCAGCCGAGGTTCACGGGTTTTGGGACATTTTTGGGTGAAACAACCACTAGATTCAGACTTTGGGGTCGAGATGAATCGACCCATGAAATTTGGGATCAAACGACCACCCTCAATGACGGTGGACGGTGCTCGGAATAAAAAATTGTGTGGTGGTCAGTAGAGAGAAAATGAAGAAAAGGGAAAAAGGGTAAATTACACAATTCCTCACAGAACTTTACACTCTCTCCCCCTATTTTACTCACCAAACTTTCAATATAGGATTTGACGACGTCGTTTTGGTGTATATTTGAGTTTTTCAAAATGACATCATTTTGATGATTATGCCATGTCATAACACCGTTAAATAGTAAACGATAGAGTGAGCAAAATGATTCAATATGTAAAGTTCAGTGAGTAAAATAAATAAATTGAAAGTTGGATGAGAAAAATAAGAGAGAGAGTATAGTTAAGTGAGGAACGGTGTAATTTAACATAATATAAAATATAAAGTATATGGGAGCCTTAAAGGATCATTGATTTTCAACGGTCAAAAGGATTTAACAAAGAAGAGTATAATTAACAATAATTGTTAATTATTTTATTTGTTCAGCTAATTAAGGGAACAGTTCCTTAGTAAAGTATAAACAAAAATAATTAATTACTATTTTAATCCCAAAAGTATATCGCGGAACACCATTCAAGCACTTGAGTTCATCGCTTTCTTCATGTGCATGCAAATCTACCATCTCCTAATTAACCACTAACAAAAAGAAATAAAAGGACCTTTTCTTCATTCCTTTAGTGTGTGTTTGGTTCAAAGATTGTGGGATTCTCACATTCTCATGTTTGGTTGGCCGGAAATCTCATTCCTGATAATATTTTATTACCAATAGTAGATTTTTTTGGGGTATATTATCGGGAATGTCATTACCTCCATTCCCTTAGGTATTGTAACATTACCAGCATTTTGGACTAAAATGTCCTTAAATTTTTATTTTTTTAAAAAATATCTTTCTTCTGTCATTGAATAATAAAAATTCTACGAATGTTAAATTACAAATTTATCCTTAAATTATTTTAGATTTACAAAAAAAAGTTTATAATTAAAATTTTATATGAAGTTCAGGGGTTAAAAAAAATTTACCCTTTCATTAAACCTTTTTTATATTTTTAATTTTGTAAAAAAAATTATATAAATATTATGAATTTAATTTTTTAAAGAAAATATATAAATATTTTACAATTTGTAATATTATACAAATATATAATAAGAACAATTTGGTCAAATATACATTCCAATAATCTTTTATTCCTTTAACCAAACACGGTAATCTTACATTCCTGCTAAACCAACCAAACACAAAATACAACAATCCCAGTAATCCTATTCCTTGATAATCTTTTATTTCCACTGGTAATCTTACATTCCGTGAACCAAACGCAACCTTAGGGTAAATTATAGAGGTGGATACTAAAGTATGGAGTTTATTCTTTTAGGATTATCAAATTATTTTTTTAAAATTAGATCACTGAAATATTAAAACGCTATTAATCAAGTAACTAAACCATCAATAAATTGATTGATATTATTTTAACTAATAGTTTAGTAGTCTAATTGAAAAAATAGTTTAATGGTCAAAATAAAATTAATCGCAGAATGTAGCGACTATCAGAGTAACATGGCCGACTCTAAGGAGGGGAGCACCTTGAGCAACTGCACAATGCTAAGGGTGTTCATTCGGTTAAAACGGTGGCCGATCGAATCGAACCGAAATACTCTTAACCGAATAAATCGAACTTTTTTTTCTTTAACCGTTAACCGAACCAAACTTTTTTTTAAAAAGTATTAACCAAACCGAATAAATTTCGGTTAATTCGGTTAATTTTCGAATTAACCGATTTTTTTAGAATTTTAGAATTTAATATTTTTTAATTTAAAAAAAATAATAATTTACAATTAATTTAAATTATATCTAATTATAAATAATATCTAATTAATTTGATTCAAACATTTTACATTTAGTATTGAGATTATTTTAATTAATTAATATTGATTTAGGTTTTAAATGGGCCTTAATATAATTATATTTAAATGGAGTTCAATGACTAAATACCCCTTAAATCTAGTTTATACACTATATTAAGATTTTAATATTTTAATGTATGATACGATTAACATTATATTCTACGACAACGCCACGCTCGCTCACCCACCCACCCACCACCCACACGAGCGATTCTCGAGCTGCATGCAAAATCCACTGCCTTCTTTTGTCATTTTCTCTTTATTAAATCAGTGCCTGTCCTCCCCTGATACAGAACCCTGCCCCTGCACTGCCCTTTTTTTCTATCTTAAATCCATTAAGAAAATCAGCAATGCAAGAAAGAGAAAATTGAGTGAAAGAAAGAAATCAATAATGTTGTGCCTTCTTCATTCTCTTCTCTTCTAGTTTTTTTTTTAATATATTTTGACTGAGATTAGCTAAGCTTCTTTCTTATTTTATCATCTTTTTCTGGGTTTATCTGGTTTTTTATGACAATGAGTTTACAAAACCTAAGCAATGATTTTGACTGCAATCACGGGATGGTTCAGGAGAAGAACTTTTTAGTTCATCCTCCTCCCACTACTGTTTTTTTAAATTCCATTGAGGGAAATACGATGAACTTTCAACTGGGTTTTCATATTTCAACCGCTTTAATGGATCGAAGCAATAAATGTTCGAGCTTTGAGCCATCTGAAAGCAGGGAAACCGCGAAAAATGCTGCTTGTGATGAAAAAAAGGGACTGTCTTTGAATTTTAATGGTGAAAAGGGGACTACTAATGGAACCAAAAATGGATACACTAAGCTTTGTGCTAGAGGCCATTGGAGACCAGCTGAAGATGCTAAGCTAAAACACCTTGTAGCTCAATATGGTCCTCAAAACTGGAACTTGATAGGTGAATATCTCGAAGGAAGATCAGGTAACTCTCAGTTCTTTCTCGCTTTGAGCATGATTGGCTAACTGATCATGTTTTGCCCTTTTTTTTTTCTTTTGTATGATTTTGACAGGGAAAAGCTGTAGATTGAGATGGTTTAACCAGCTAGATCCAAGAATCAACAGGAGAGCTTTCAGTGATGAAGAGGAAGAGAGGCTCTTAGCTGCACATAGATTGTACGGTAACAGATGGGCAATGTGTAACAACCCGATTTTCAAAATAATATTTAATTGAAATTTTAGAGGTTAATTGTGAAAATTGGTAAATTGTTGGTGACTAAATCAAAATTTATGAGAGTTTATAGGCCATTTTAGAAGTGAAGAAAATCCAAGGACCAAGCCTTGAATTTACCCTAAAACTGTCGGCAGCTTTGATTATAAGCGTGCATTTGGTTCTGATTTTCAGAACCAAAAGGCTCCCAATTTTCCTTTCCCATACGCAGTTTCCAACTCCGATTCCGACGCCGTCCAAATTCCGATCATCGTTTTAAACCCACCGTTGTGTTCATCATCGAGCGAGGAACAAACCCTTCAAATTAATTGAAGCGAAACGCGGCCAAACGTCGGGAATTTCCAGTCAAAGTAGCGACGGTTTTGTTAGCTCTATCGCCGAGGAAATCTTAAATTCACCGCTGATCGTTGCTCCGTTTACGACACCTCCCGCACCATCGTGTTCCTTGTGCCGTTCCGAGTTCACCGGTGTCAACCTTGTCCGCCGTAGACGGCGGAGCGTGAGGAGGTGGTGCAGTCAAAGATTCGGCCGATTTGAAATCGAGCTCTCCGCCGTTCAAAAATTTGAACCGATCGTTGTAAGTATCTTGAAATCGCTCAAAATAATTTTTAGAAATTTTTCCGGGATTTTTAGGGCCCCGGAGGACGCCTCACGCGCCACACGCGCCGCCGCAGGGCGAGTGGCTGTTGGAAACCGGTTTAACCGGTTTTCAACCGGTTCTGACCGGTTTGACCGGTTTCAACCGGTTCGAACCGGTTTGACCGGTCTGACTCGGTTTGACCGGTCTGAGCCGGTTTGACCGGTCTGACCCGACCCGACTGTTGACCCGACCCGACCCGACCGTTGACCGTTGACCGTTGACCGTTGACCGTTGACTTTCTTTTATCAAAACTTAAAATGGCTTTGACCGAGCATTAAACGACCGTTAATATTTTCCGAGTATACATATCCTGATAGTTTTCGACGTGCCGAATCCGTTTCCGTTGTCTGTTTTGTCAAATTCGAATCCGAAGGTCTCCAAATCTACGGTCAAAGTGGTTGACTTTGACTTTGACCAAGAATATGAATTTTCAAAAAGTCATACTTTATGTTTTTCGACGTCCTGATTCCGATTCCGCAATCCGTTTGGCCAAATTCAGACTCGAAATACCCCAAAATGATAGTCAAACCCGAAAAATGCTTATATACTTAAGAATTCTAGCTTTGAACAATTAAGTAAAATTTGGGGCTGATTAATTATTATTGTTTGAAGGTACAAGAGACTCTCCGGATCGTTCGATAGCTCGACCCAACTCTTCTAGATCAGTTAAACCACGTATACCAGTATTCACTCGTAAGACTCGTAAATTTTATGATTTTAGAGATTTATTTATGTTACCCATTAGTAATATAGTGATATTATAAATTAGGTTCGAAAACTGTAGCAGAGCGTGGTGAAACCAGCAATCAGTAGATCCACGATTTGAACCTATTATCGAGGTGTGTTCCCTATTTATTACTGAACTGTTTTATTTGTTTTAATATGTGGTACACTGAATTCTTTGGTTTCCGTATTGTTGATGCACCGATTTAATGTGATGATTTATGGATTATGACTGTTATCTGATATTTGTTTTGAAATGGTATATGATTACCATGTTTATGGATTTATGGAATTTATAACACGGTGCAATTAAATTTTTGGAATACGAATTTATAAAGTACAGCTCTGATCAAGCTGGAAAAATTTACGGACCTAATGTGACTCTTAGGTAGGCTCTGCGGCCCTGAGATCATTCTCGGGTAGGCCCTGCGGCCCTAAGATGTGTTCTTAGGTAGGCCCCACGGCCCCGAAATCTATCTTGGGTAGGCTCTCAGGCCCTAAGATGTTCCCTTAGTGTAACGCTTTGTAAAGAGATTTACTGCAGTATAAATTTTATGGGACTTAATGGACTATGATTTGTTTAGTGTACCTATTGAAATTTTATGGTAATGTTGGGACACACTGAGCCTAGCTCACTTTTCGAAAATGTTTTCCCCCTTTCAGATACTGTTGGTTAGTTACCCTGGATTGAGCACTTGGAGGATCAACATATCTCTTGAAGTATATTTGATTGTAATGTTTTTACCTTGCAAGTTGTCTTTATTTTGTTAACATGGACCTTATTTTAAAGTATGGTATTTTAATATGATGACACTTTTGCTATTACTATTCGGTTTATCGTGATTTGATTTTTAAGATATGTTTTAAATAAATTTATTATTTATTGGTATTATATTTACAAGTTAGGTTTTGATAGTATGATTTATTATAACTTCAGGTCATTTATAATGTGATTTTACATTGATTGAATAACGGTTTCGGAAGAAAAAATGTCTTAAAGAATCATAATGTGATCCACTAGACTTAGTCGAAACGCATAGGCCAGGTTTAGGGGGTTACATTTATTGGTATCAGAGCTTTTGGTTTTTAAACCTCGGATTGTGTATGAGTCCAAATTGAAAATACGATTTTGAAATATTTACAAAACAAGTTACTAAGGCCATGTCACAAAGTTATTAAGATTTTAATTGTGTTTAGAGACTCCAAGTGCTTGTCTAACCATAAGTTTTATCTTCTGTAGTAAACTTGAGATCCACCAAAAATGAGTGCTAGACGTGGTCGTCGAACTAGCCGTGGACGAGGTCGAGTGGCTAGATTTGCAGATCCGATCGATGAGATACGAGTAGATCCCCCACCTCCGATAGGTGATCCTGCTCCTACGACCCCAACGAATCTGCCTCCTACCGATGGTATTGGCATGACTACACCGATCATAGGAGCGACAGATATTGAGTCAGAATCTACCGGAGTTGCTTTGGATGAGACTTTTAGTAGACAATTTCTGCAGTTGATACAGGGAGCAGTCAGAGCTGCTGGTGTTGTATCTGAGGTTCCTATTTCGCAGACTCTAATTGCTAATGGGGTCAGGACTTTTGGAGGACAGCTTGGAGGAATTCCTACTGAAGCAGAAGATTGGCTACAGGATACAGAAAGACGCATGGATCAGTTGGGTTTGGACTCAGCAAAGAGATATTTGGGGGCAGTAGCGATGTTAGATGGAAATGCCCACACATGGTGGGAGTCAGTGACCAGTAGTGTTTCTACTGATCGTTTGACATGGGATTTCTTCAAGGAACGCTTTCGGAGCCGATTCTTGGGTGAGCGCTACTTAGTCCAGAGACGACAGCAGTTTCAGGACTTGGTTCAGGGTGACATGACTGTTTCAGAGTATGAGATAGAGTTCTTGAAATTGTTAAAGTATGGAATCAGTCTGGTGCCTACCGAAAGAGATCGATGTCGTAAATTTGCCTTTGGACTCAGATACGAGCTACGTAGGCAGGTGGTAGCCCTTCAAGATGAGATTTTTGATGTGCTGGTAAGCAGAGCCAAGGATGCTGAGGAGATGGAGGCGTTAGCTTCTGGTAGAGAGCGTGTTGATCAGGAGCGATCTAGGAAATCTTTTGGCCCTACTGAATCATCCGCACATTCCGGTAAGAGGACTCGTACTTCAGCCCCTCAGAGGAGCAATACCCGTTTCAGGCCTACTGTATCATCACCTTCAGCTGTTAGTAGAGGTGGTTCTTCGGTTCCGGTTCTAGTGCCTCAGTGTGACTTTTGTGGGAAACGGCACACGGGAGAGTGTTATAGGAAGACCGGAGCATGTTTTCATTGTGGATCTAGTGGACATTTTCGGAGGGATTGTCCTCAGCTAGCTTCGTCTGAGCGGATCGCTACCCAGACTCCTGTGCGTTCTCAGACTACAGTACAGACTCCAATTAGAGATCGTAGCCAAGTAAAGGCTCGTGGTTCAGCGTCCAGGACAGACAGTAGAGCTCGACCTCAGCAAAATAGAGGGCCAACAGTTTCTGAGGCTAGACAGCCAGCTTTGGTTTATGCCACTAGACGACGTGATGACAGAGATGAGCCAGAGGTTATTGCAGGTACATTTACTATTTATTCTATCCCATACTTTGCATTACTGGACAATGGCTCCACTCACTCCTATGTATCGAGCTCAGTATCTCGAAACCTTCAGATTCCGATAGAGAACACTGAAAATACTGTTACAGTTACAAGTCCAGTAGGACAAGCAGTATTAGTGAATAAGGTATTTCGGCATTGTCCTTTGGAGGTGCAGGGAGAAATTTTTCTCGCTGATCTTATGGAGCTTCCTCTAGAGGAGTTTGATCTAATTCTTGGGATGGATTGGTTGAATAAACACAAGGTAAATCTGGATTGCGAGTACAAGCGAGCTACCCTGAAGACTTCAGATGGTCGGACTGTTGTGTTAATTGGTGAACGGCGTGGCTATCTCTCCAATATAGTTTCAGCGATGGAAATTGATCGTATGATCCGAAAGGGATATGAGACGTTCATTGCCTGTATTTTGAACACTAAAGGTGTATTGTCCACGATCGAGGAGATTCGTACAGTTAGCGAGTTTCCTGATGTTTTTCCTGAGGAGTTGCCTGGGTTACCTCCTGATAGAGAGGTAGAGTTCGAGATTGAGACTTATCCGGGATCTTCACCTATTTCTATGGCACCTTATCGCATGGCTCCAAAGGAACTTAAGGAGTTGAAGGTCCAATTGCAAGAATTATTCGATCGAGGATTTATCCGACATAGTACTTCACCATGGGGAGCTCCAGTTCTATTCGTGAAAAAGAAGGATGGGTCGCTAAGATTATGTATTGACTATCGGAAATTAAACAAGATGACGGTCAAGAATAAATACCCATTACCCAGGATTGATGACTTATTTGATCAATTGCGAGGAGCTACTGTATTCTCTAAGATTGATCTTCGTTCGGGGTATTATCAATTGAAAATTAAAGGATCTGATGTTGCAAAAACGGCCATTCGCACTAGATATGGTCATTATGAATTTTTAGTGATGCCTTTTGGTTTGACGAACGCTCCTGCAGCTTTCATGGATTTGATGAATCGGGTGTTCCGACCATATTTGGATCAATTTGTGGTGGTCTTCATTGACGATATTCTGATCTATTCTCGTACTGAGGCAGAGCATGACGAGCATTTGAAGATCGTTCTGCGGACTTTGAGAGAGCATCGTCTATATGCCAAACTAAGCAAGTGTGAGTTTTGGCTTCAAGAAGTGTCATTTCTGGGGCATATTATTTCTGCGCGAGGTGTTCAGGTTGATCCCAGCAAGATAGAGGCTATTATGAATTGGAAACGACCTAAGAATGTATCTGAAATCCGCAGTTTCTTGGGCTTGGCTGGTTATTATCGACGTTTTGTTGAGGGCTTCTCGATCATTGCTTCTCCTTTGACAAAGTTGTTAAGGAAGAATGTGTTGTTTGACTGGGGCGAGGCACAACAGGAGAGCTTTGAGAAATTAAAGGCGGTTTTGACTCAAGCACCGGTGTTGATTCAACCGGAGTCCGGGAAGGATTTTACAGTGTATAGTGATGCTTCACATTCAGGACTTGGTTGTGTTTTAATGCAGGAAAGTAAGGTGGTGGCTTATGCATCCCGTCAGCTGCGGCCGCATGAGAGTAATTATCCTACTCACGATTTAGAGTTGGCAGCAGTAATTTTTGCCTTGAAGATTTGGAGACACTATCTTTATGGAGAGAAGTGTTACATTTTCACAGATCATAAGAGCTTAAAGTATCTTCTGACCCAGAAGGAACTTAATTTGAGACAGCGTCGCTGGTTAGAGCTTCTAAAGGATTATGATTGCGTGATTGATTACCACCCTGGTAAAGCTAACATTGTAGCAGATGCTTTGAGTCGGAAGACGGTATCGGAGTTGAGGTCTTTAATGGCCAAGATGAATTTATATGACGATGGCACTTTGTTAGCAGAATTGCAAGTTAAGCCGACCTTGGTTGATGAGATCAAAGCTAAGCAGCCCCTTGATAGCTCCTTGCTTTCCATCTTTGAGCAAGTAGAGCAGGGGACAAACACAGATTACGCAATTGATCAGGATGAAGTTTTATGCTTTAAAGGTAGATATTGTGTGCCTGATGACGCTGAATTGAGGCAGACTATCCTTACTGAGGCTCATAGTAGTCCATATGCTATGCACCCCGGAGGAGATAAGATGTATCGGAATTTGAGAGAGAGGTATTATTGGACTGGTATGAAGAAAGACATATCTGACTTTGTGGCTAGGTGTTTGACTTGTCAGCAAGTTAAGGCAGAACATCAACATCCATCAGGTTTGTTACAGCCTATCAAGATTCATGAATGGAAATGGGAGCGTATTACTATGGATTTTGTTACTGGCTTGCCTATGACTCCTTTGAAAAAAGATTCAGTTTGGGTGATTGTTGACAGACTTACAAAGTCAGCTCACTTCATTCCTGTGCGAGTAAATTATACTTTGGATAAGCTGGCAAGATTGTATATTTCAGAGATTGTCAGATTGCATGGTGTTCCATTGTCTATTATTTCTGATCGAGATCCGAGATTTACTTCGAGATTTTGGAAGGCGTTACATACGGCTTTGGGAACAAGATTGGATTATAGTACATCCTTTCATCCACAAACTGATGGTCAATCTGAGAGAGTAATTCAGATTCTGGAGGATATGTTGCGGGGTTGTGTAATCGATTTTCATGGTAGTTGGGAGAACTTTTTGCCGTTGGCTGAATTTGCTTACAATAACAGTTATCAGACCAGTATTCGTATGGCACCCTATGAAGCACTCTATGGGCGTAAATGTCGCACTCCGATCTGTTGGACTGAGTTGCGTGATAGGAAAACGTTGGGACCTGAGTTAGTGCGAGAGACGGAGGACACAGTCAGATTAATCCGTGACCGTCTGAAAGAGGCATTTGATAGGCAAAAATCTTATGCAGATCAAAGAAAGAAGGATATACAGTTTGAAGTGGGAGATCGGGTCTTTTTGAAAGTTTCACCTTGGAAGAAAGTATTAAGATTCGGGCGTAAGGGTAAATTGAGTCCAAGATTTATTGGACCATTTCGTATCTTGAAGAGGGTAGGACCTGTTGCATATCAGCTTGAGTTGCCTTCTGAGCTAAGTCGTATTCATGATGTCTTTCATGTATCAATGTTGAGGAGATACCGTCCAGATCCAGGTCACATTATTCAGGTTGAAGAAGTAGAGCTGAGACCTGATTTGTCATATGAAGAGGAGCCCATTCAGATCTTGGAGAGAGATGAACGAGTTCTTCGGAATAGACGAATTCCAATGGTCAAAGTTCAGTGGAGAAATCGAGGCCCCTCAGAAGCCACTTGGGAGACATTGGAGTCAATGGAGGCTCAGTTTCCTCAACTATTCTCATAAGGTAAATTTCGAGGACGAAATTTCTTGTAGAGGGGGAGAATTGTAACAACCCGATTTTCAAAATAATATTTAATTGAAATTTTAGAGGTTAATTGTGAAAATTGGTAAATTGTTGGTGACTAAATCAAAATTTATGAGAGTTTATAGGCCATTTTAGAAGTGAAGAAAATCCAAGGACCAAGCCTTGAATTTACCCTAAAACTGTCGGCAGCTTTGATTATAAGCGTGCATTTGGTTCTGATTTTCAGAACCAAAAGGCTCCCAATTTTCCTTTCCCATACGCAGTTTCCAACTCCGATTCCGACGCCGTCCAAATTCCGATCATCGTTTTAAACCCACCGTTGTGTTCATCATCGAGCGAGGAACAAACCCTTCAAATTAATTGAAGCGAAACGCGGCCAAACGTCGGGAATTTCCAGTCAAAGTAGCGACGGTTTTGTTAGCTCTATCGCCGAGGAAATCTTAAATTCACCGCTGATCGTTGCTCCGTTTACGACACCTCCCGCACCATCGTGTTCCTTGTGCCGTTCCGAGTTCACCGGTGTCAACCTTGTCCGCCGTAGACGGCGGAGCGTGAGGAGGTGGTGCAGTCAAAGATTCGGCCGATTTGAAATCGAGCTCTCCGCCGTTCAAAAATTTGAACCGATCGTTGTAAGTATCTTGAAATCGCTCAAAATAATTTTTAGAAATTTTTCCGGGATTTTTAGGGCCCCGGAGGACGCCTCACGCGCCACACGCGCCGCCGCAGGGCGAGTGGCTGCTGGAAACCGGTTTAACCGGTTTTCAACCGGTTCTGACCGGTTTGACCGGTTTCAACCGGTTCGAACCGGTTTGACCGGTCTGACTCGGTTTGACCGGTCTGAGCCGGTTTGACCGGTCTGACCCGACCCGACTGTTGACCCGACCCGACCCGACCGTTGACCCGACCCGACCCGACCGTTGACCGTTGACCGTTGACCGTTGACCGTTGACCGTTGACTTTCTTTTATCAAAACTTAAAATGGCTTTGACCGAGCATTAAACGACCGTTAATATTTTCCGAGTATACCTATCCTGATAGTTTTCGACGTGCCGAATCCGTTTCCGTTGTCTGTTTTGTCAAATTCGAATCCGAAGGTCTCCAAATCTACGGTCAAAGTGGTTGACTTTGACTTTGACCAAGAATATGAATTTTCAAAAAGTCATACTTTATGTTTTTCGACGTCCTGATTCCGATTCCGCAATCCGTTTGGCCAAATTCAGACTCAAAATACCCCAAAATGATAGTCAAACCCGAAAAATGCTTATATACTTAAGAATTCTAGCTTTGAACAATTAAGTAAAATTTGGGGCTGATTAATTATTATTGTTTGAAGGTACAAGAGACTCTCCGGATCGTTCGATAGCTCGACCCAACTCTTCTAGATCAGTTAAACCACGTATACCAGTATTCACTCGTAAGACTCGTAAATTTTATGATTTTAGAGATTTATTTATGTTACCCATTAGTAATATAGTGATATTATAAATTAGGTTCGAAAACTGTAGCAGAGCGTGGTGAAACCAGCAATCAGTAGATCCACGATTTGAACCTATTATCGAGGTGTGTTCCCTATTTATTACTGAACTGTTTTATTTGTTTTAATATGTGGTACACTGAATTCTTTGGTTTCCGTATTGTTGATGCACCGATTTAATGTGATGATTTATGGATTATGACTGTTATCTGATATTTGTTTTGAAATGGTATATGATTACCATGTTTATGGATTTATGGAATTTATAACACGGTGCAATTAAATTTTTGGAATACGAATTTATAAAGTACAGCTCTGATCAAGCTGGAAAAATTTACGGACCTAATGTGACTCTTAGGTAGGCTCTGCGGCCCTGAGATCATTCTCGGGTAGGCCCTGCGGCCCTAAGATGTGTTCTTAGGTAGGCCCCACGACCCCGAAATCTATCTTGGGTAGGCTCTCAGGCCCTAAGATGTTCCCTTAGTGTAACGCTTTGTAAAGAGATTTACTGCAGTATAAATTTTATGGGACTTAATGGACTATGATTTGTTTAGTGTACCTATTGAAATTTTATGGTAATGTTGGGACACACTGAGCCTAGCTCACTTTTCGAAAATGTTTTCCCCCTTTCAGATACTGTTGGTTAGTTACCCTGGATTGAGCACTTGGAGGATCAACATATCTCTTGAAGTATATTTGATTGTAATGTTTTTACCTTGCAAGTTGTCTTTATTTTGTTAACATGGACCTTATTTTAAAGTATGGTATTTTAATATGATGACACTTTTGCTATTACTATTCGGTTTATCGTGATTTGATTTTTAAGATATGTTTTAAATAAATTTATTATTTATTGGTATTATATTTACAAGTTAGGTTTTGATAGTATGATTTATTATAACTTCAGGTCATTTATAATGTGATTTTACATTGATTGAATAACGGTTTCGGAAGAAAAAATGTCTTAAAGAATCATAATGTGATCCACTAGACTTAGTCGAAACGCATAGGCCAGGTTTAGGGGGTTACACAATGATTGCTAGATTGTTTCCCGGTAGAACTGATAATGCATTGAAGAACAATTGGCATGTGATCATGGCTAGGAAACATAGACAGAAATCAAGTTTTTATAGAAGAAGAAACCCTTCTTCTTCTTCTTCTTCAACATTTTCTGGAAATGGGGATTTTGACAAATATTATATCAATGGTAATGGTGTAAGTTATGAACAAGGACTAATGGTAATGAGTGTAGACCAATCTGTTCATTCATCAGATTCAAACTCAGAGGCTTCAGCAACAGAGTTAGTGGGCAGGAGTCAGAACAACCACACCATCATGTCTGGGGAAAGTGGAAATGCTGCTAATGAAAAGATCAACAACAGACCCTTCATTGATTTCCTTGGAATTGGCCATTAAGTAGGTTTTTCTGGTTTAAAAAAAAACTTATCTAAAGAGAAATTTTGAGAGCTTTTTGTATTAATTTGAAAGCTCTATTTAATGTACAAAAATAGGAGCTTTTGCGGTATCATCACTTTATTCCTGAATGTATAGTTATAAATAAATAAAGCATTGTATTTTACTTGATGGATTCCCTTTCATCAGATTTTTAGAATTTTTTTTTATCTCGATTTAACTACGATTTTCTCATTTTTTTTACTCAGTTTTGATATCTGATGTTAGTATACAAACAATTATGTGTTGACGAACGTTGCATAAGTTTTTACTTTTTTGGATGAATAATTATAAAATAATATCTATTAAAAAAATCAAATTGATAATACGCACACATCATGTAATCGCATCTATAATTTCGTGAAAATAAAATTTAGAGTACGTTTAAAATCATTTAAAGTATTTTATTAAATGTAAAAGTTTCAGGAAACTGATATTTTTGTTCCTATTTTAGTCAGGGCTGAGGAGAGGAGATAACGTGGGATCATGTTTAGGGTTTGGACCAGTCCCTGAATAATCATATGTGCTGCGCATTAGCATCATTTATTCCTTCAATCCATCTTCCCCCGCCATTTCTTCAGTTTCACTCCATTCTCTTACATTCTGCAAAATATAACCAAACACATCCTTAAAACACTCAACCAATGTATTATTTATAGTTTTGATTTTATATTATATTATATTTGTATTTTTTTTGCCTTTAAAACACTCAACCAATGCATAATACAGTTGATTGCTTCCTGAAACTTCAAAATTGGATTGCATTCTTAAGACGTGTTCTTCACAGGTTACAATTTAAGGTTCTGGCTTCCTCCTTCTCAGGTCGTACAATGAAAAAAAGGTTTCTTTAGTTTAGTTCGTATCAATACATCTTATGGATGCATGTCTTCTATGATCATTGCAGATATTGTGAATGATATGATTTCTGTTCCTCTTGAATTGCATTTCACGGTATATGTACAAGTTACAACTTTGTAATTTAACTTGGTTCTTAAGATATGCTAGATTAGATTACTTGGTCTAAACATGGTTCCTTTATGATCTATATTTCTACTAGATAAACCTTCATAACCTACTGAAACGTGAAGATATCAAAAAAGTTTATGGGGTCCCATGAAGTTTGACTCGTAGCCGTACTGATCTTTTATATACGATTTAACAGAGGGGCTCGGTACAATATCTCCATATTGGGACAGAATGAGTCCGTAAACTGTCCACGCCAATGGGCAAATCCAGTAATACCAGATCCACCACTTGGGGATTCTCTGAAATTTTCAGCAAGTATTGGATTTGTATCAGCTTTGATCATGGTTAAAACTCAATGATTGCTTGTGAAAGAGGTAAACTTACCGGTTTCGGAATGAAAAAGCCGGAGAAAAGATCAAAGATAGCATAGAAGGCGGCCGCGAATACAGCCGCTATTTGATGATTTGGTGTAATCGAAACTGTCATCATTCCATAGTAAGTGAAGTAAAGGAAGGAGAAGAAGTTGACAAAGAAGAACCAGAAGAACTTTGTTGCAGTCCATTGAAACCCCACCATAGCATTCACTATAAGGATATAGTACGCTGTTTGGAACAATTCGTATGGCACTTCACATGCAACCTGCAATTAAGCAATTTATGTAGTTAGTTTCGAGATTAAACAACCGAAATATACCGAATGAGTGCAATAAACCTGTTTTCACGCACCTGAGCCAGGGCATATGGTAATGCAGAGTACATCCCGACTGCTCTTTCGCGATAAAACACCGTTCTTTCAGTGGCCACGAGCGGTTGTACTGTAGAGCAATTAGCAAATCCAACGAACAAGACTGCAGCATACATTGCCCAGATTATCATTGTAAGATCGGTTGTAGTATCCCTGAACCATGAAAATATTAAGCCTTTTGTCAAACATTGGATAATGTTGCAGACATGAAAAGTAAGGGGCAAGAACTTGAGCTTTGTAAGCCGAAGATCGGTACCGACCTGTTAGTGCCGACCTGCCAAAATATAGTGCCGATCATGAGGGCTGAAACTAAAGTGAAGAAGTATCTAACGAGGTTATAGTCCGGACTTCTCCAATAAATCCACCATTGTTTACAAAGGAAAGATTTGAATTGACCCCATGTAGATTGTGAGTACTGAGAGGCAAAATAGAGGTCTTTAGCTCCTGCAGGCGGTGTGCTTAACTCAGTTACTAAAGCCTTGTTTCTCCTGTTTACAAACATTTTAATTTATTAGCTGAAGGCAACAAAAATAAGTGAGTGGTGTCTGGACTTACTGATATAAGAATGAAGATTTATAGTGTTTGGCAAAGTCCATTCCGAGTCGGATTTCAGCTGCTCCAGAGCTCACTTCCAGCATCCATGTAGCTGGATTGTACTTCTCTTTAATTTTAGGTACTCCAGGGATTGACTGCAATGGAGAACAAGAGGGGAATGAAATGACGATGATTTCTTTTTTGCCTCTTTGAATTAGTGAAATAGATACGAGAAATCTTGTTATAGTTGCATACCTCGAAATATTCGATATCTTATGAGAGTTTCAGCCTAACGGTCCAGAGTAAATCACCTGGTCTCCTCTTTTCATCAGTAGTAACTCGTCAAAGGCCTCGAAGATATCGATACTAGGCTGACGAATAGTGCAGACAACTGTTCGTCCGGTATCCTTCATGTTTCGAACAGTCCTCATTACAATAGCTGCTGCCCTCGCGTCAAGGCCTGACGTTTTTTTCCGAATATTTCGACCTCAAATTATGCCATTTTCCCTTCCGAATCACTAGATTTAGATATTTTTTAATATTTATGGTAATATTTCGATTGTTAATTAGGAAGTCATTTTAAATCCGATTTCGGCCGGGTTTTTTTTTACAGATTGCTTATTTTATTTTGAATTTCAATTTAGAGTGATTTTCGGGATTTTGCTATTTTTGGTAAAATTCCGATAAACAAGATTTTTGGCTATAACAGTACGGCTTGTGGACTGATTTTGGACAGTTTTGATTTTTTAATATTTTATTAAACTCTGGAGACTTTTTTTCTCTGGTTTTTGGGCGAATTTTCTCTTGTGAATCATCTGTTGAAACTAACCTACAGGATAATCGTTATTCTGTATGGCGTCAATACGTTAGAAGAACACATTATCCCGAAGGATTGTTGAAACTTACAGTTTAGGTATGTGAGGGCGAAGGTGAAGAGAACATTAAAAAGCACTGCGAACCCGAAAAGAGCACCTGCTCCAATCCATTAACAATTATCATTATTTGGAACATCATAGTTCCTAAGCAGTTGTACCCCCAATGGCGTGACAGTGTCTGAAGCCTGCATTGTAAACAAAGTTTCGGCTCGTAACTAACCCTTATTTAAATGAAATAATGTCTTTCCATAATCTAAGAACAACCGATATCTTACTGGACAAGAAAGCTAAATAACATACCCGTTTGTTCATCCGCCTCGGCGCGAATACTTCATTCACAGTGAAGGCATTGTAACCATAACTCAATGGTGAAACCCAGTAAGCCCATTCCCACCAATTCGGAATTTCACCTGTCGAAATATAACATCACATATTCGGATTTCCTATCGGAATTTCACCTATTAGTTAACTTTAACAAATAGGGAGAAGTCTTCCTTTTTTATCGTTTTATGCTTACGTTTAGGAACGATGAAGCCTCCCAGCAAGAAAACGAGGAGGAGTGTGAGAGCTCCTCCAGTGTTAGCTATGACAATTGTTCTATATAATCCGGCGATGAGCCTAAAGAGTCCGGCTGCCATTTGTTGTGCCAGAAACACCAGCAGAAACTGCTTGAAAAGCCTGGCAATAGGTTTGAAGGATTTTAACTTGTTGATCACGTAAAATGATAGCTATGATTAGTACAACGACAATGTGAAAAATTTGCTACGATTCAGTTTACCTGCTGGTCTCTGGTGCAAATCCGATGGTGTAATATGTTACAGCCATCCATACAACAGATTCAAGCATCGATATCGGAACCTTGAGCAAGAAACTGGGCAAAGTAAAAGTCCAGGCAGGGTGGAATAGAAGATCCCTTTGTTTGTAGAACACTTGAAGCCTATTGATCATCATGGAGAGCTCGGAGAAACCGTTAAACATGTTTATGACCATTCCAAATAGAAGTGCACCAACATAGGCTGCACCATCTTGCTCGTTCCTAGTGTTCAGTTCAGTCCGCAGAAACACTGTCAACGCGATGACTGCCATGATGATAATTTGAACACGTAAATGAACGAATTCCTCTTGATCAATAGCCATCTTTATCCCAACAGGCCTGAAGAAGTTCCATTCTAGAGACCAAGTATTTTTGGAAAGCCAATGCTGCTATGTGTCCTCTCGACTTGTCGAAAGGCACCGAGAGCTCCTTATGGAGCTGCACTCCGACATGGAAGCTCTTGAACCTACTTGCAAATTCACTCACTGAAATATATCTGTATGGCTTGCTTCTATCTTCCCAGTATTGTTCTTGATCCTTCTTCGAAGTAACCTGCAACCATTTCACCGGCAATTGTGCGCCAGGCATGGATGTCAGACACGGATTCTTAAAGCAGAAAAGGAGAGTTGTACACTGCAGTCCATGTTTTTGGTTTTCGTTTTACCTCTTGTAAGAAGTCAGCAGTGCCTTTCCTTTCAGGGCATTTGAAGCCGCAAGTCTCAAAGAACTCAACAATATGCTCACGTGGACCCTGATAAACAATTTGACCTTCGGACAATAGGATAATGTCATCGAACAAATTGAAAGTCTCAGGAGCCGGTTGGAGCAGGGACATGAAAATCGTAGCCTCGGTTAGGTGCCCAATCTGCTGCAAACACTTCACTATCTGGTATGTTGTGGAACTATCGAGACCGGTTGATATTTCATCCATGAAAAGTGTCTTGGTCGGACCAACAATCATTTCCCCTACATTTAACCAAATTCTTACATTATCATATGAAAATGAATGTCAAAAGAAGGTATTGTGGGGATTTAGAAATAATCAACCTGTTGTTACTCTTTTCTTTTGTCCACCAGAAACTCCCCGATGCATTTCATCTCTAACAATGGTATCCTTGCATATGTCAAGCCCCAAAAGCTGACCAATTCAACACAAAAATGATAAGTTACGGAATGATTGGTGATTAATGGTTCGGATTAACGATTTTAATTATCTTACTTTGAGGGTGTAATCAGTGATAAGGCTGCTTTCAACTCCTTCCATGGCAGTTGCCTGAGAAAACAAAAATCATAAGTCAAACAAGCAAAATCATAGATTATTTTATGAATATGAATAGTTAAAGATTCTGTAATTTATACCTTCATGAAAAGGTCAACATCAGCTTCTGGGAAAATTCCTGCTTCTTTTTCCCTTTTGGCAAAGCTCTTTCAAAAGATCTTCAAGTGAAAAAGCATTCCTCTACTTTAGGGTAAATTACACCATTCCTCTACTTTACTTTCTCTCTTATTTTGCTCACCGAACTTTCAATTTTTTTAATTTGCTTACTGAACTACTTTATAAATTGAATCATTTTGCTCACTCTCTCGTTTTCTCTCTAATGTTTGATAATGTCGCTAGATATCATCGTCGGCCACCTTTGACTGCCATAGATGATGGCCGTTTGGTCCCAAAATGGGATGGGTTGCTTCGCCTCGACGTCGTAAATTTGAATCCGACCTCCATTTTGTTGAAAGTTGCTCCGAAGTTTACGAATTTGAGATTAAAAGTGAGGAAATTGAAAGGTTTCAGTTCAAATTCACGGTTTTTGAGACATTTTCCGGTGAAATAACTATAAAATTCGGACTCAGGGGACGAGACGAATCGACCCATCCCATTTTGAGACCGAACGACCATCATCTACCTACGGTGGCCAAAATGAAAATAAAGGGCGGCCGGAGCAGGGAAATTGAAGAAGACAAGGAAAAAGGATAAATTACACCACGAGTCATTGAACTTTACTCTATCTCATGAAGGAAAATGAGTAAATTACACCATGAGTCATTTAACTTTACTCTATCTCATATTTTACTCACCAAAACGTCATTTTAGAGTATATTTGAATTTTTCAAAACTAAATCATTTTGATTCCTGTGCCACATCATAATAAAGTTAAAAAGTTAACGTCAGAGTAAGCAAAATGATTCAATTTGTAAAGTTCAGTGATCAAATTAAAAAAATTGAAAGCTCGATGAGCAAAATAGGAGAGATTATATTGATAAACTTGCGTCATACAGTTTGCAAATATTGATTAAGCTAAACTTAATTAGGTATCTGATAAAACAAAACTTGATTCGGTAAAGTATATATTAAAGTAGTAACATTTATCAATAAGAGATTATATTTGTTAAAAATTAAAATAATATTTTTAAATGAATGGTTATTTATTTCTAAGATAAAATGCCTTAAATGTCATTAAACTTTAAGGTTAATATTGATTTTTTACTGAATATTAAAATATTTTAATTTTAATATTAAAATTTGATTTTAATATTAAAATTTGATTTTAATATTAAAATTTGATTTTAATATATATATTGAACCATTAAATCATCAATGATACGATAATGTTGTATCGCTTTTATCATTAAAATTTAAGACATTTTATTTTTAGACATAAAATTTTAGTTTGTATATCATTTTGATCCTTACAAACAATTGTAACTCTTCTAGTTGCCGTTGTCTATCGATCATTGTTTATCATTGATTCACTCTAACGGAATATATGTTAGAGTCTTCAAGGGAATTTTTGAGAATATGAATTCCGGAGTTTCAAGGTTCACTTTGACAAAGGTTCGCCTTGAGCAAAGAATCTTTCAAAGCAGAGGTTGAATCATTTGTGCGAAAGATCTCTTGAATTAGGGGATAATAGGATATGGCACTGAAGTGACGACTCTCTCTTTCTCTCTCTATATATATATATATATAATAATCATTTTATTAAGATCTATATAAACAATATTTTTAAGATAATTTTTTCTCGATGTTTGAGAATATTAAACATCTATTCTCTAGAATACAACAACAACCGTTCACTGGAAGTAGCACTACTCTAATGAACAAATTAAACTCAACATTGTCCTTTTCTATTACCGTAATAAAATCAATACATATCATTGATAGTTTAAAATTAACATGTTTGATCATAAATTTCTCAAATTGCACATTATTTATATATAAATTTTGTTCAAATATTTAAATATAAAATTTTAACAAGTATTAATTGAATCAGTAAAAATAAGATTAATATTGTATGTTGTCACTCTACTTGAGTTCGTGTTCATACAAATACATATATTCATCGTGGATATAAATTGTTATATGGTTATCATATCATCATTAATAATTTAAGATTTTACTTTTTTTAAGTTGATCATTAAATTTAGTTAAAATTCATGGTTAAATTGAACGAAAGACAACGAGAACATTGGGATAAATTTGTGAATATGCCCAAGAAAAAAGATTTGATATGGTTAGAATCAGTCAGTTGATTCTGGCAGTAACCACCATCTGTGGGAATAAATAGGCATAATACTTAATAGACTCCTCCACCTTCTAAAACCGTGCCGCTTCTTCCTCTCTTCGTTTCGCTCTCTAATTTAGTTACTCTCTCCGGTTCGTCCTCCGTTCACTACGGCACGGTTCCGTTGCCTCCTCCTCTCATTTCTCTCCTTCACTCATCAGCACTGTTTTCCTTAATTCAAAATCTTCTTTCACACCTTTTCCAACGCTCCTATTCATGTTTCCTGTCTGGGTCTTTTTTAAATTGATTTAAAATTCTCTCAAAGCTCTTAAAACCTTCTTTCTTTTGTTTAAAGTTTATATTGTTGATCTCTTTTTTTTTTATTATTAAGATTAACTGGTAAGTGTCAGCATTTCTACTTTTCCCGGTGATTTTCTTACTGGGTTTTCATCAATATGATTCGGACTTCTCATTGTTTGACGTGGGTTATTCAATTACATTACAAAAAAGATGTACTTTTTTTTTTATTGAGATCCTTTTGTAAGTGTTAGTATTCCAACTATACCGGTTGATTTTCTTTTCGGGTTTTCGTTACTAGAGTGTAGTAGAAAGTGAGCATTGATCAGCTCTGTTGGTTATTTATCCAACCTTTTCTAATTTGATTTTCTTCTCTGATTTTATTACTAGTATTTTATTTTTAATTCGAGGTTTTTTGGAATTATTGAAGAATCTTTTTTTTTCGTAGTGTGACCTATTGGTTATCGTTAGCATTTGATCAAGTTTTTTGTCTTATCTTTTCTATGTAGTCTTTATGAAATCAATCTAATAGATCGAATCTTCTGAAATTTTGGAAATTATAGTCTAGTGCTTAATCATTGGTTTCTTTCTAATCTAATAGGTCTAAACTGAATTGAGCAGTCTGCTTTTGGTTTCCGGCGTAGTGTTATCTTTCAGGCACAGGTGTAAGATCATATTCTTTGTTAATCAAACTTAGGACTATGTTGAGTTTGTTCTTGCCAAGGTTTTGCATTCATATGCACTTCTTTTGGGCATATAATCTCATGCTAGACAAATATTTGGTTTCTTTTAGCTCAAAACCTTCAAAATATGTTCATATGAACTTTTGATCTCAGTCCATGCTGAATTGCATATGTATCATGATTCTTAGCTTTGATTCTAATGATTGTTTAGGAGTATAGGACATTAAGGTTGTAATCTTATGTATATATATATGATTTTATATCATAAAGCTGATATTTGTCTGTTTTTTTTATTTGGTTTAGAAAATGGCTTCCCACATTGCTGGATATCCCCGCATGGGACCAAAGAGAGAGCTTAAATTTGCTTTGGAATCTTTCTGGGATAAGAAGAGCAGTGCTGATGATTTGAAAAAAGTTGCAGCTGATCTCAAGTCATCCATATGGAAACAGATGTCTGCTGTTGGGATCAAGTACATCCCCAGCAACACTTTCTCATTCTATGATCAGATGCTTGATACCACATCAATGCTTGGAGCTGTTCCGCCTAGATATGGCTGGAATGGTGGTGAGATTGGATTTGACACTTACTTCTCCATGGCCAGAGGAAATGCCTCTGTACCTGCCATGGAAATGACCAAGTGGTTCGACACCAACTAGTAAGTTGTCATTCTCGGTGGTACTTTGTTAGTGCTGTTGTTGTTGTTGTTGCGAGTTCTCTGATACTAATGCTTTTATCGTGTTGTGTTATGTGCCATGTGTTGTTTCAGTCACTTCATTGTTCCTGAACTTGGACCTGATGTTAAATTTTCTTATGCATCTCACAAGGCGGTGGACGAATTCAAGGAAGCTAAGGCAGTATGTTTTTGGATCTAGTTTATGTGCACGTGTGTGTTGTGATGGCAATAAAATGATTTATAACTGCTTGTAATTGCATGGAAATGCATGATGGTCTGAATTTGGGTTAGGGTTCTGGGAATGGTTTCATGTTTGTTGTTCTGGTGTCAGATTTGTATTATAGTTTGTAGCTCTCTAGTATTATAATTTTATACAAATCCATTTATTGAGAATTCCCCGAGTGAGTCTTGGAATACTAATTAGATCAACTTGATTACTGTGCCGCGCTTGTATCCTATTTTTCATTTTTACTATTTGATGTTTTTGTCTTACTGTGAAACCTGGAATCCCATTTTTTGTCTCACTTGCAGCTCGGAGTTAACACTGTCCCTGTCCTTATTGGTCCTGTTTCGTACTTGCTGCTGTCTAAACCCGCAAAGGGTGTTGAGAAGACCTTTTCTCTTCTCTCTCTCCTCCCAAAAATCATCCCTGTCTACAAGTAAGAGTTGGTTCTCTTTTTCTCTTCTAGTTATTTTTTACAAATATAACTGCCTTAATTTGCTATTATGACATTCAATATCTCTTACAGGGAAGTTGTATCCGAGCTTAAGGCAGCTGGTGCTTCCTGGATTCAGTTCGATGAACCCACGCTTGTCTTGGATCTTGACTCTCAACAATTAGGATCATTCACTACTGCTTATTCTGATCTGGAATCGACTCTTTCTGGCTTGAATGTTCTGATCGAAACTTACTTTGCTGATCTTACTCCTGAGGCGTACAAGACCCTCACTGGATTGAAGGGTGTCACTGCTTATGGTTTGGATTTGGTTCGTGGAACGCAGACTACTGAATTGGTCAAGAAGGATTTCCCCAAGGGAAAATACCTCTTTGCTGGAGTTGTTGATGGAAGGAACATTTGGGCCAATGATCTTGCTTCCTCTCTTAGCACCTTGCAGGCGCTTGAAGCTGTTGTCGGCAAAGGTATTCAACTTTATTTTGCCTTCTATTGCCTGTAATTGCATGATGAACATTACAGCTTTGGTATTTATTATAGGCTAATATCTATGAATTAATTTTCCAATGTGCAGACAACCTCGTGGTGTCCACCTCCTGTTCGCTTCTCCACACCGCTGTCGATTTAGTAAATGAAATCAAGCTTGATGACGAAATCAAATCCTGGCTTGCATTCGCTGCCCAGAAAGTTGTTGAAGTTAATGCACTTGCCAAGGCATTGGCTGGTCAGAAGGATGAGGTTTATGTCCTTAATTTGCTAGTTTTCTAAGAACTAGGATGATATCTCTTGATCCTTATGCCGTTGGGCTTGGTATTTTGATTCTTAATATTTAGTGCTTTCTCTAGATCCGGATGATGCCGTGTCAGTATGTCACTCATGAGTTATTCATCTACTTTTAGGCCTTCTTCTCTTCCAATGCTGCTGCTCAGGCTTCGAGGAAATCCTCCCCAAGAGTAACCAATGAGGCTGTTCAAAAGGCTGTAAGTGTTTTGATAGAACTAAAAATTCCTGTCTTCCAAGTGACTGCTCTGGAGTAATATCTTTTGCCATGAAACCCCGTCTTTTCTTATAGTGTTTTATGGTGCTTGCATTTCCAGGCTGCTGCTTTGAAGGGCTCTGATCACCGTCGAGCAACAAATGTTACTGCTAGACTCGATGCGCAGCAAAAGAAGCTTAACCTACCTATCCTCCCTACCACGACCATCGGTTCCTTCCCTCAAACTGCGGAACTCAGGAGAGTTCGTCGTGAATACAAGGCTAACAAGTGAGTTATTCTGGAAAATTTATCTGATATCTTTCTTATAAAATGTCAAGGTGGCCATTCTATTAACTAGTGCTCTCATCCCCTTCAGGGTCTCAGAGGACGATTACGTTAAAGCCATGAAGGAGGAAATTAAGAAGGTTGTCGACCTTCAGGAAGAACTTGACATTGATGTCCTGGTTCATGGAGAACCCGAGGTAAGTATTTGTTTTAGTTTTTCCCTTTTTCAGTAAATTGGAAATATGTTTTTGTTTATTTGTTGTCAAGCGTCCTAACGATTGACATCGTGTAGAGAAACGATATGGTTGAGTACTTTGGCGAGCAGTTGTCTGGTTTTGCTTTCACCGTTAATGGATGGGTGCAATCTTATGGATCTCGTTGTGTCAAGCCACCGATCATCTATGGCGATGTTAGTCGCCCCAAGCCAATGACTGTTTTCTGGTCATCTGCGGCCCAAAGCATGACTAAACGCCCTATGAAGGGAATGCTTACCGGTCCTGTTACCATCCTCAACTGGTCCTTTGTTAGAAATGATCAGCCCAGGTATGAACGACATGAGAAATCCGAATTGGGGGAAAATGATGATAACTATTGTGTTTCGATCGACATTTGTTTTACTTTGCAATATGATTATCTATTGACTGCAAATGCCAACTTTTCAGATTCGAAACCTGCTACCAGATTGCCTTGGCAATCAAGGACGAAGTCGAGGATCTCGAGAAGGCCAGTATCAACGTTATCCAAATCGATGAGGCTGCTTTGCGAGAGGGGTTGCCGCTTAGGAAGTCTGAGCATGCCTTTTACTTGAAATGGGCTGTCCACTCCTTTAGGATCACCAACTGTGGTGTCAAGGATACCACCCAGGTTCGTATATAAACTCACTCACTCATCGAAACATTCATATCCACATAATTTCCATGATTGTTGTATTCTCAAAAAAAAAAAAATGACAGATCCACACACACATGTGCTACTCTAACTTCAACGATATCATCCACTCAATCATCGACATGGATGCCGATGTCATCACCATCGAGAACTCACGTTCAGATGAGAAGCTGTTGTCAGTATTCCGTGAAGGTGTGAAGTATGGTGCTGGAATCGGCCCCGGTGTGTATGATATCCACTCTCCTAGAATACCGTCGACAGAAGAGATTGTCGACAGAATTAACAAGATGCTGGCGGTGCTTGAGTCGAACATCTTGTGGGTTAACCCTGACTGCGGGCTGAAAACTCGCAAGTATGACGAGGTGAAACCAGCACTGAACAACATGGTTGCTGCTGCCAAGCAGCTCCGCACCAAACTTGCCAGTGCTAAGTGAGAGTCGCTTATACGAGAGCTTGGAGAGATCCTATCCAAAAAGAAGGAAAATGAAGCCGAGTCCCCCTCCCCAATTATATAAATAACTGTGGTTTTTTGATGAATTTTTGTTAAGACCAATTGATTCCCATGGTTATTTATTTTCTCCTTTTATATCAATAACTGTGATTTTCATTCTTTACTCAATCACAACCGCAATTCTAGACAGCATTCTTCATTCTTTAAGATGAGAATTATAATTTTTCAGATATTGGATGATTTTATAATGGGTCTTAATAGATGGCATTGAATGCATAGGTTAATGGTTGGATATTATGGTGGGTCTCAATCGTTGGCATTGAATGTGGGTTTAGCTTTGTTATGGTTAATGGTTAGAATATACTAGTATGATTTATATATTCTTACATTAAAAAAAAACATGAGAGATTGATAAATGCATAACTCCAAAAAAAAACTTGATTTTCTTTCTTTACTAACTAACAACTGCATTTCTAGATTACATTCTTCATTCTTTAAGATAAGAATTATATTCTTTTAGAGATTTAAAATAAAATGTTGTGTAACATTAGATTATAAGTTCCGATGGGGGTTGAAACAGGATTTACGTTTGAAACATTTTTCTCACACCACACGAATCTGATTTGTGATTTGTCAATCGTCTTTCAGTTGCTTGATCTCTTTTTTTGTGATTCGTTTGTCAATGCGATCATATACGTTCGTATTTCTCTTGGTTAGATTTTTTTTTTAATTTTTTTCTTGTATGATCATTGTGTGATTATAAGTGGTTAATTTATCATGTTAATGATTATAAGAAAATATTTTTATTATGCTTTTAGTTTACGATTATGATTGTAACATTTATTGTAATTTTAGATATTTTTTCAGCCAACTACTTTTATCCAAAAATAATATTATGTTATGAGTGAAAATATATAGGGTAAATTACGCGTTTAGTACTTAAACTATTAATTTTGGTCCATTTTAATAACTAAACTTTTTAATTTTTTCAAAATCATATCTAAACTTTAGTTTTTGTTTCATTTTAGTACCTCCATTCAAATTTTAATGTTAAATTTTGATTTTTTTTTGAAAGTTTAGCTATTAAAATGGATAAAAACTAATAGTTTAGGTACTAATTGCATTAATTTTTTAAAGTCGGGGTATTAAAATGAAATAAAAACTAAACATTAGGTATGATTTAAAAAAATTAAAAATTTAAGTACTAAAACATACCAAAACTAATAATTGGATACTTAATATGTAATTTACTCAAATATATATATATATGAAAAAATATTGTACATCTCCACCACTCCTTGAAAAACTTGCTAAGTCAACCATCACATACGGAGACTTCATTTAATCAATTGTCAAGTCAATAATATTTAGAGTATATGTTTGAAAGTTCTCGGTTGATAAATTTCTTCTCTCTTAAGTTATAGGTTCATTATTTAGTAGAAATAAAATAAAATTCTTCCCTCAATTGAAATTATTAAAAAAATGTATTATGTCCTTATTAATTTCAAGTAAAATGAATTAATAAGAAATTGAAATTATTAAAAAAATGTATTATGTCCTTATTAATTTCGAAGTAAAATGAATTAATCTTTCTTATTCTTTAATTTTGATCTTGTCTTTAAGAGTAAAATTCATAGAACAATGTGTTGATTTAACATTAGATAAATCTATTTCTATTGATTATGGTTAAGGTTATTACATTTACTTTTAGATAGAAATATATTCTCTTTATTAACTCGAATAAAATAATTATATAAAATTTATATAAAATTTCTGGGTAAACTACTATTTATATTGTGATGTTTGGTATTTGATATTATTATTATATAAAATTTTATTTAGTTATACATATAAATCGTGTATGTAACATCATTCTACGTCAACTTCTATTTTTAAAAAGTAAAACGAAAACAATATTGTATTGATAACTATATAATAATTTGTAAATTTTAATCAAAATTAAAAAAAAAAATCAATGAAAGAAATATAAGCTAAATCAACAACAGCCTGTTGATCAAAGCAAAAACTTCAGCAGTCATTTCCAAAAGGGCATCACGGCATTCATCTGGTGGAACTTGCAGCAGCACCAAACCAAGTTGGTGACTCCACGCCAACTTCACGAGCTGGTCTGCAATTGAATTACACTCACGAGGCACATGATTGACATAGATTTCCCAATTTTACTGACAGAGATCAATTTGATGTGACACTAAGGAGGAAACACCTTTTGCTACAGAGGTGTTCTTCAGTAAAATCAACGGCCTCCTTGCAGTCTGTCTCAACTTTAATCCACCGAGCTCCCAAGCTCCATGCTATATGTAAACCTTCAAGCAAACCCCATAATTCTGCATCCAAAGTTGTGCAACCCCCAATCATCTTCATGAACCCCGAAACTCAATTACCCAAATGGTCTCGAATTACCCCGCCGCACGTAGCAATTCCTGAATCCAACTTACGAGACCCATCCATATTAAGCTTAAACCACCCATCAGGAGGACATTCCCAACCTCTAAACCTATCAACGGGTAAACACGCTACGACTGTAACCTCCTTTCTTTTCTCCCTTGCTCGCGAAGCCCCGGTAGTCAAACGCCAACTTTCATGGAGGACACTTTCATGGAGGACACTTCCAGAAAAAGAACAACTGAATCAAAGATCAAAGCATTCGTTCTCTTCCAAATTCACCAAACAATATTCCCAAATAAAAGCTTTCAATCCTCCGTAACCAATGGAAAATGAGGATTACCTCTTAAATTATCCGCAACCTAGTCAACCATGTTAAGCTGCAGAAACTCCCCCCATTAACTTCGGTTTAATGACATAATTTCACGTTCCACGAGCAACCACACACTCCCTAATGATAAGAGAAGCAGACTCCACCACCGCCTCACAAATTGCACAACTCTGGTCCGATGCCATACACATGCGCACTCTTTCTTCATTCGATAGAAGCCGATTTTTACAAATGGTCCAAAGTAGTGATTTAACTTTAGGTAAACCCGGATACTTTGCAATAAGACTCCATATTTTTGCCGTTCACCAGCTAGTGAATTCTGCAAATAAGCGCGCTTCGTTGTAAATCGTCTTTTGCTATCCCATTTCCAGCCGAAAATATCCACCCCTATTTGACAACGGTTGTTTGACAGCCGCAACATTAAGAAGTAAAGGAGGAAGTGTTGCTCTCAACCAATCCCACTTCCACTCCCCATGCAAATCAATTAAATCAGAGACTTTAATATTTTCTTCCATCGGGTGCAAAGTGACCGACCGATACTTTGCAAGGGGACCTACATCACCCAACCATGCATCAGTCCAGAACTTAACCGTTTCCCTATTCCCAAGCGTCCAAACAATGCAATCGCACATATCTTCCCACACTGTAATCAATCCCTTCCATAAGCGGGAATCACACTTTCTTTCAATCGAATTCGGAATAACCTCAGTGTAATTTATACTTGTGCCGAAGAACCCTCGCCCAAAATTGGTCACATTAGAAATTAATTTAAAGGCTACCTTCATTCAAAATGCATCATTCTGAACACGAAGCCTTTTAACTCCAAGTCTTCTGTCAGCTTCCGGCAAGCTTACCTCCTCCCAACTTACTAAGTGTATCCCTCGCTTTTCATCCGTTCCTCCCCAAAGAAATCGGTGAATTAGCTTCTCCATTTCATCACAAATACCTTTAGGCATGTAGCAAGTCTGAATAGCATATGAAGGCAAAACACCCAGCATCGATTTGACTAGAACCACTCGTCCAACAAAAGAAAGAAACATGGCCTTCCAACCGGTCAACTTGTCCCTAATCTTTTGAATAATTAATTGATAGGTAGCCTTCGTGACCCGAGCATGCAAGAGTGGAACCCCCAAATACTTACGCAAATCCTCGACCCGAGAGAACCTAAAACCATTACTGATATCCACCATGATCTCCACATCCACGTTCTTGGAAAAATAAATGTTAGTTTTGGCAAGACTAACCTTGTGACCAGAACTAGCACAATAATCATTCAAAAAATTTTGAATAGTTTCTCTCTGAGAAGTAGAAGCCTTCGCAAATAATATCAAGTCATTAACGAAAAATAAGTGTGAAATAACCAACCCATTTCTTGAAAGCCGAATAGGTTTCCATAAACCCTCCCCAACTGTCTTATGGATGGCTTAACTAAGACGTTCCATGCACAGAACAAACATATAAGGTGACAATGGATCCACTTGGAGATACCCCGAGAAGGTACAAAAGAGGTCATACGGGAACCATTAAATAAAATTTGGGTAGAGGCAGAGGAAACACAATTCATGATGATCTGGCACAGCCGGATTGGACACCACACATCCCTCAAAGTATCGTCAATGAACAGCCACTCAAGCCTGTCATAAGCTTTCTCCAAGTCAATCTTTATTGCCATCCATCCTACCTTACCACTCTTCTTGCTCATGTAATGAATAACCTCCTGAGCAATTATGATGTTATCCGAAATACTCCTACCCGACACAAAACTCGTATGATTTTCAGCTATCCAACTCGGAAGGAACGACTTCAATCTATTCACAATCAACTTCGCACAGTCTTGTACAGTACGGTACAGAGACTAATTGGCCTGAACTCAGTGATCCTCTCAGGACCTTGAACTTTTGGAAGAAGCACAAGCAATGTTCTATTGATGTCTTCTGGTATGTAACCATTGGAAAAACAATCTTGCACAAAACGAGTGACACTAAGGCCAACAATATCCCAATTCCGTTGGAAGAAAAAAAGCTTGGAAACCATCCACCCCGAAGACTTAGAAAGGAACATCTCGAAAACTACTTGTTTAACTTCACTTTCAAACACAGAAGCTTCCAATAATCTTGCATCACAATCATTTAACCCCGGAAATAACTCACGGATTTCATAGTGGCTATAATCAGCACCGCCACTAGTAAATAAATTCGAGTAAAAGTCCACTGTTAGCTTCTGAAGAGCATCAACATCCGAGCACCAAGCTCCATTATCTAGGCGCAGTGCAATAATTGAATTCGTCCTCCTTCATCCTTTCGCGCACGCATGATAAAATTTAGTATTTCGATCCCCACTTTGAAACCACTCACACCTCGATTTTTGTCTCCATATAGATTCTTCTTGTTCTAAAAGGACATCCAATTCTTCCTTCAACTGAGTCTCAAGTGCAACAACAAGAAGCTTTGAATCTCGATTATTTAGGAAATTGTCAATTCCCCGTAATTGAGCGAGAATTTGCTTCTTCCGCTTTTCAATTTCGCCAAAGGAGTTATAATTCCACTGAGTTAGCACTGATCGAATAGAATCCAGATTGTTACGTATGTCCGGTGACGGATCCCATTTTTCTCGCCTCAAATCCTTAAAACCTGGATGCTCTTGCCAAGCAAAAACAAATCTAAACTGCCGCTCGAATGGCCTGGAGTGAACCTTCTGAATTTGAGCAAGGATTGGTCTGTGATCGAAATTAAAATTTAATATATATAATTACACCAAATAACCAAGTTAAAGTTTCTATGTATATTTTAGTTTTATTCCTATATAATATGCATTTGAAACAAGAATTTGATCATATATTTTTTTTGTTAACCAATTTGATTGACCGAAATAATTGAACTAGATTTTATAGACGAGTTTAGGATGTTAAAAATTAGAGAAAAAAAGGTGGCTTTTTGTTAATAATTATCCTGCTTTAAGATTTTTCTAGAAAAGTAAGACCTATTTATATACGGAAAGAAAAACTAAAAAAATTATGTCTTTTCAAAAAAGGACAATTTTTTAATTTTATCACTCAAGCTTTTTTTTATTTTTATTTAAGTCATTAAATTTTAAAAACTTAAAATTTTATTATATAAATTTGAATTATTCATGTTTAACCACTTTATCATTAAATAGATCAATATGTTATTATATGATAGACTCTATTAAAACGACAACGTTTTAAAAAAGTTAAAATTTATATTAAAATAATATCATTCTGTTATCTTATGATATATATATATATATATAAGAGGTTCTTCATCAACCTCCATCTTCTTTACCTTCCTTTCTTTTAATTCCATTCTTCAACCATGTCCATTGTTCTTCCACTCCCCCCCGATGAGAATTACTCAAGTGGGTTGAAGAGTATCGTAAACAAAATGTATTTGAACTTTTAATGATTTATGTGTGAGTGAGTATTCGATTGATAATTAGTTTGAAACGACAGATGATAGATTAGGAAAGAAATCTACTAATAATAGAATGATTGATGGAGAACTTAATTCAATTTAAAAATAAAAAAAATAATATTAATAAAATATTAATTAATAAAAATATCATGTTATCATAAAGTTATAGGTATAACGGGGGAGTGAAAAAAGTAGTCTTTAAAATTAAATGATTAAATTAAAATTTTTTAAAGTATAGTGACCAAAATAAAAGTAAAACAATGTAGCTGATGAATTTTGCACTTTACCCATTTCGAAAAGCGCTCACGTGTTTGTCAATGTATCAATCCCAAAATCATGAGATATTCTGGAAAAAGAAACAGAAGTCCAGCTTTAAGTTGATCTGTCGACGAACTCCAATTTTTTCAGCTTATAAATTAGTTTTTCGTACGTTTGAATTAGAGAGAAAGGGAAGGAAAGGAAAGATGTACAAGTCGAAATTGCAAGAGCTCTGTCAGAAGAAAGCATGGAGGTTACCGGAATACAACGTTACAAAGAAAGGACAAGATCACAATCCTAGTTTCGAAGCTACCGTCGACGTGAACGGCATGTCGTTTCAGTCTCAGAATCCGGCCAAGTCTTCCAAAGAAGCCCAAAATAACGCCGCTCATCTCGCTTTCCTTCATTTCACTGCTCCTCCCCTCGTTGATCATGGTACCCTCATTTAACTTAACAAAACCCAAACCCAGATTACGCTTATTTTATAATTTTTCTGTTAACAATCAGTTGTTTTTCCATTTTTATGTTAACTTTCTTTTATTTTATTCGGGTTTTTGTTGGTATTTAGTTTGATGTTTAAATGTCCTTTAGAGTAAATGCAGAGCTGAGCGAAGTAATCGATGAAATGAATTTCATCATTTTCTTTGGTGGGTGAGGTAAATGGTTGATTTTGTAGACAATCATATGCTAAAATTGTGTCTCTCTCCATGAGTTCTTAATTTCAAGGAGGTGGGAAACAAAGCTTGAAAATTTCAAAGTTTTTCATTTCGGTAATTTAAAGTCTGAAAGATTATTTTTTTTACTCAAGTAAACAATAATAAGGATGGAATAACTATGTTCACAAACTGATGTTCAAATTATTGACTGTCCGGTAAGATAGAATAGTGTAAAATAAATGAAGATAAGATTTTCTTCTATGAAACTTTCACCTAGTCCTAACCAAGGCTTGCTTAGCTTATAAGCAGTGTAATTATCAAAATACCTTAGGTCAGTTATGCATATAGCATTTGCTGCGCAAAGACTGTTATGTTCGTTTTCTGGGGCAAAGACCATTAGGTCTATTATGCATAGAACATTTGCCGCGCCAAGACCGACATGCATATAGCATTTGCAGTGCAAAGACTGTTATGTTCGTTTGCCGCGCAAACACCATTATGTTCGTTTGCCGCGCAAAGACAGATAGGTCAATTATGCATATAGCATTTTCTGCGCAAAGATCGTTAGGTCGATTATGTTCGTTTGTTTGGTTGTGCAACTGTTAATCAACTATAAGGTTACATTGAAGATTTTTAGAGGTATTATTAATTGCTAGGCAATTTTTTTTTTATAAAATGTAGCTTGTTTCAAAATTTTAATTAATAATTGACAGTTTACATAAGCTCAAACTTTGTAAGTTGCATTATTTTGTTATTTATTTGCCCTAGGTTGATGAATTATTTTCTTAAATTAGGTAAGTTGCCCAGTTCTGACTGCAGTCATTGAACAAAGAAATAAGTGTTAAAATTTTTAGAGATTCTATGCTATCAAATAAACAAAGTTTACCATTTTCTTTAAATGGTGATATAAATTGTAAATTTTGCAGGGAACTCTATGCTAAATTTGTTTACTTCAATGAAGTGGGAAAAAGAAAGAAACATGAAAGTTTGAATTTCCTGATTTTGGGGAATTTGGAGTCCGACAGTTGTTTTATTCGCTTGAGATGAGCATTATAAGTATAAAAGAGAACTATGTTCATTTATAATTTTTTGATTGGAGGTCTGAACTTAGTTTTGATAGATATTTATAATTTTTGTAATGGATTTTGATTTGAATTTCAACTTCATAATAAACTTGTTTTTCTCTTTTAGGAAATATTTTGATAATTTTCTTGCGTTTAAAACAGTGTGGGCTTTTGAAGCTCTTCAATTCTTTTGCATGACTTAGGGAACCAGTACATGTACATGTTTTACTTCTTTTAAACTTTTTGCAGATTTTTTCCTTCGCCTTCCCTTATCAGAAGTTTGTTTAATTTAGGATGCATATGTACAAAATACATTATCTTTCCATGTTTGGTTACTTTGATTATTGCAGGTTCTTCAAATGCAATTACAAATTTTGATGGTGATATTGCTAACAGAAGGGTACAGCAACTAGAAGCAGATCGAGATTCTCTTGTCAAGGAACCTGCTTCCATCTGCAACAATAATGAAAAATTTAAAGGTCTGAAAACTAATTTTGTACCCTAACATATTTCCTACTTGAACCAAAAGGAAAACCGGATAGCTTGTTTGTCTAATTATTGGCATAAAAGCTTATCTGTGGTATATGTTCCTATTAGAAGCCTTGTGCACTTCCCTTACATGTGAAGTAGAATTTATGACCTCGGACAGTGCTCAAAATTATGCTTTTCTAAATCTAGATTTTCTTTTCTCCCCAGTTTTTATAAAAATATATTATGCGGTACAACAGCCAAAAAATGAGCCAAACACGTCTATATTAGGTTCCTTGTTAATTAAAACCTATGTTACTCTGATTTGGGTTAGAGTGTTGGGCATGGGTATGTTAATTTTTTTTTATATAAGATTCCCATGTATTTTGAGGATCCTTGGGAGATCTTATCCCTATTACCCATATCTGGATATGTGTCGGGCAGGCGGGCATGCGACTTCAAGAAAAATGAAGAGTCGGAGCAATATAGATTAAAAGTAAGCCTTAGGTTAGGTCATACAGGATTTGCAGGATGTTGCTAGCTATTTTCATTCATTTTCTATGCTAGTCAATGCAGCTTATGAACTTGCTTATATTAGCTTGATAATGTCTTCATGAATAGCTTTGAGGCTTATCAATTGAAAAAAAAAGTTCATTTTCCCAGCTCAGACATGGTATCAAATATCAATACAATGAACTGAGCACAAGCTTCCTCGAAAACGATTTAGATCTAGGTAGCTAGTTGTGTCATTTGAGCCGAATTCATTGACTTTGCTGACTGACTTAGGTTTATTGGGTCGATGTAGAAAGTCTGCTATTCTGCTTTAGAATGCCTGCGGTACGTCGTTGAAAACTCTGGAGTCAATTAGGAGTTGAAAGAAAGCAAAAATACTGCCAGATTAGAATGGTAGTATCCATGGAACATTAGAGTCTGTTAGATTCAGATTGCATGGCATTCAACATATTGCTTATGGTCCATTAATAGATTTCTTTCCATATTTGGAATCTTGATGAACTAATATTTGTTTTATTTGTGTTTTGATTTTCATTTTTGTTTACTTGTTCCGTTCGTGTAGTTTCATTCTTCTGCTAACTGTTTCCTTAACCCCTTGGTTACAAGGAAAAGCACATTTAGCCCTTTTTCTGATATGGAATTGTTGGGTTACAGATATGCAACATTTTTACAAAAATGTATTGCAAAATTATGCTCAAAAGAGAAACCTTAGCCGGCCTGTGTATTATTGTGAGTCTGAGGGTCCGCCTCATGCAAGTCGCTTCAGGTGCAAGGTCACTATCAATGAAAAATTCTATGAGAGTTTGGAGTTCTTTCCAACGATAAAGGAAGCCGAGCATGCAGCTGCAAGAATTGCATTATTGTCTTTGGCACCGGATACCATTGAAGAGGTCCAGGTTACTGATTCATTTTTGTCTTTGTTGTTTTACTCTCGTTTATGATATTTGTGAAAACATTCAGTTGTTGCAAATTTCTAGGGCTTGAGTTTTTGTCCTTTCTATGTTTTCGTTTTTCCTCAGGAAGACTCTAGCTTATACAAGAACCTGTTGCAAGAATTAACACAGAAGGAAGGTTGCCTTCTACCAGTTTACACTACAACAAGATCCGGTGAAGCCCATGCATCGATGTTTGTTTCCGTTGTGGAGGTAAAGGGAGAGACTTTTACTGGGCAGGAAGCAAAAACCAAGAAGCAGGCTGAGTTTTTGGCAGCGAAAGTTGCATATACAAAGTTAAAAGAGTGTGTGTTCTCTAAAATCCCTCATTTCTGGTTTTGTTTTCCTAAAAACAGAAAGAGGAAAAAGAAAGATCCCTGTTTCCCTATCCTGTTGACAATTCTTTTCATGTCTCCCTATCTCTCACGCTATGTTCTAACTGAACTGTAAATGGACTTTTGGAAGACACAGGCAAATACAACTTGTTTGACATGTTTACCCTAAGGGCATAAAATTTTGAGTGCCATGGCATGCGATTCTCATTTTTAATTGTATTGGTTGTAGATAAAGGTGATCTATGTGTATCATGTGCTTACAAGTAACAAAATGAATCTCACATCTATAACACTGGGGGAATTTTCCTGGACTGGTATGGGATATGAAGTCTAAATTGGATCATGGTTAACAAGTTTCTGAAATCTAGGTGTTCCCTGTGCTGGGGCCAAAAGATTTTTATGAGATTTGTAGTCATGTCATCTTTCTGAATTTATGTCAGTATGTTAATCTATGGTCCCTCTATGTTAGCTGTGTTGTGATTAGTTCTGAAATTTTCCCTCCATTCATGAGTAAATATAGAGGCCTTACATCTTTGCTTTCATTTTCAGGCAAGTCAAATAGGTGCTCTGTGGATATTACTCCGGCCTACTGTGGACCAGAAGTGCATGTGGTCTCAGCTTCTCACTTGCCAACAAACGTCAATGCTGTTACCCAACAAAATTTTGGATTCGAAGCCGGCATGTTGCTTAATTCTAGCTCAACTTCAAGGTCTGATATGCAGGAGGATCGAGGTGACTTTTTACTATGGAAACTTCTATCATTTAATATTGAATTTCAATTTTGCAGTATACGGTTGTTCCTGAAATTGCATGCAAAATATCTTTTTATTTGCCTCCTTTCTTGGTAAGGATTTATCTTTTCAGGAAGTTTTTTGTGTTTGCTAAAGGTGAATGGTTGGGTTGGATATATGCTAATCCTAACCAATCAACCTGAACTTGACTTGACTTGGACCCGAAACAATCTGACCCTGAAATGACTTGAACACAGCGACCAGAACCTGCAACAAAATTAACTCGAAATGATGCGAAACCTGAAATTGACTTGATCTGAAATAACCCAAAAATTTTGTGACCCAAAATGATCCGATCCAGATTGAACCAATCCAAAACCAACTTGACTCACCCCAAAACTAACCCGGCCAGCCCAATTTACAAGTCTCCTTGGATGTGATTCTCCAAATTGAATTTCTGTGTCTAACAGACGTATACTCGTATCTGATATACTTAAATCTGAGTAACATGCTGCAGTGCATCATGCACAGATTCTTTGTTTCCTCGCATGGATATATTCCCATGAAAAGTACGATTCATTTGAGTGCATCTCTACATCTTTGGTAGTCAAATTGTTTGCAAGCTATCTGAATGCTAGCTTCTGAGATGTATTTTCTTAAAGCCATGTTCCTCATATCATTTTCATGTGAATTTGTTGCAGTTAAGGTAACATTTCTTGATCCTGTTCGGCCATCCTCACCTATCCTGTCCGAACATCCTCAGCCGGAGGATAACCTCTGTATTTCTAATATTCTGTCTAAAGGCTTGGCTACTACGAATCCAGTTGACTGTTCAATCATACATCCTGTTGAAATGAGTACCTTATCCTGTAACAGGGTCATAGTTCATCCACGCGTGCCGAACATGAAGTTTCCTGCAGGTAGCACTGTTCTGCCGATGAGTGACGACGATTGGGTTGCCGTTAAGGTTGGATCTGAACCTAACCAGTGACTTCCGACATATTTATGTATGTTAAAAACAATGGAACTCGCATGAGAACTCCCCTATGTTATTTAGGGCTTTCTTTTCCGTTTTAAAACTGTTCTTGTTTGAACTCACAGCTTACTCATTAATGAACTATTCCTCATCAAAAAGTTTCATGCTTAGGGGTGATGATTATATATATATATGTGCGTGTTTGTTCGGAGTTATTTTTGGGTAAACTACACAAATGATCACTGATGTTTGAGTAAGTTTTCGTTGTCCTAACTGAAGTTTCAAAAATAATAAATTGGTTACTAACGTTGTCAATTTATAACAAATTAGTAACTTGCCGTTAAGAGCCGTTATTGCAGTTATTGCAGTAATGGAATGCTGACTCAGCACATTGGACTCTTCTTCCTCCTCCTCTTCACTTTAAAAGATTCTTGAATTGATTTAGATGTTTTTTATATAATGGTTAGACTTCTATAAAAAAAAAATTCTCCACGAACCGCATTGGACTGGTGTGTCGAGACCAATTAGATTCGAGCGTACTGTCATCGCAAACTAACTTTGAAGCTATTATCGTGCTTATCATTGATGATAGTAAGTTTAATTTGTTGAGAAACAACAAAGGCAGTAGGAAGCTGTTCATGGTTTTAGGGGTTTCACGTTTTAATTCATTTGCTTCGGTTACATAAATATGATGACAATTTGCATTCTTTTCTGCGTCCATCCTTTTTGTAAATAGGTAAGGTATACCTGACATCAGAAAAGAAAACCAGTGAGTTTTTTTTACGAGAACTATGAGCTCGATTCTCCCATATGCTGTGTTCGTGGTATTTGCACGATGTAATATTGTGTATTTTTCCACCTTTAGCTAATGAGATTTCATTGAGTCTCCTCATGCATAAATGTATGAGTTAGGCCGCATATGAACATTATGGATTCAAAGGAATAGATTAAATTTCGATGTGGATTTTACGGAATCCGAAAGCGTTCTTCAAAGGAGTATTCGAATGCAACAGGAGCTCCTCCGACTCCATTTGCAGCAGCGAAATAGGATGCAATTGCAGAATCGGCCAAAGTGTTGGCAGGCCCCTCAGCATGGATGGTATAAGCTAAATACTGATGGCTCCAGGCAAGCAGACTCGGGACTAAGCACATGAGGTGGAGTTATTAGGGACTCAGATGGTAATTGGGTGGCCGGATTCTCCGAAGCAGCTGGTGTTTGCTCAACCTTAGATGCTGAATTGTGGGGAATATTTGAGGGGATGAAGATGGCTTGGGAGTTAGGTATTCAAGCATTAGTTGTTGAATCGGACAGCAAGCAGGCGATTTCGGCAATTGATCCTTGTCAAGGCTCGGATTTAATTCCCCGATGGTGATGTGTATCCGAGAGTTAGTTGCTCGGTCTTGGAACACTGTTATGGCGTTTATCCCTCGTGAGTGCAACAAGCTTGCAGATGAAATTGCTCAAACAGCCTGGTCTCTGCCTTTCGGATTTCATCCGTTCCATACTCCCGCTGCAGTGGTCTGCGAGTTGATCCAGACTGATCGTGTGGCCTCCTCAACAGGCTCTTCGTAACCTTTGCTCTGGGATGTTATCTCTTTGTACTCGAAAAAAAAAATACTTACATTCAAGAATATTTTAAAGTTAAGAAGAAGAATACATAAATGTATGAGTTAGTCAGCATATGAACATTTAAGTTACTTATATTCAAGAATCTTTTAAAGAGAAGAAGAAGAGTAAAACATGCTGGTTTAATGTGTCACGTCAGCATTTCATTGCTGCAGTAACGGCTGTTAATGGTGAGTGACTGATTTATTAAAAATCAATCATTAATGACCAATTCGTTACTCTTGAAACTTCAGTGGAGAAAACAAAAACATACTCAAACATTAATGACCGTTTGTGCAGGTTACCCTTTATTTTTTTCACTGAATTATTTGCATTCATTATTTGTGTCTTATGTATACGACCGTCCGACCTTAGGAAAATCAAAAGATACTCTTTAGTTAAAAACATCATAAAACATTGCAGGCTAGCGATTTGAACTTTTCTGTTCAATTTTAGGACACGTTGAAGTATCTCATTAAAGGAAAGAAACAAAAAAAATAATCAAAAGATTATCTTAAATTGTTACGAAACATGCTCATTTGGCACCCCCTACGTATAACCCAATGTTCATATGCCGATCCTGGCCGGCTTATTACCATCTCAAACCCATCTCCTCGAAATTGCAATGCCTAATGAATCATTAAACTATAAATACGTACTTAGCCAAACCAGATACATTTGAAAAAAGGTAACAGAAACAACAGAGTTTCTTGAGCTTCCACCGATGGCTTCTAACAAGCTTTTCATGCTCGCCATTGTTGTCGTATTTCTTCCTGCGATGGCCGTTGGAACGGAGTACATTGTCGGGGATGACAAAGGATGGACGATAAATTTCGATTACCAAGCTTGGGCGAAGGACAAAGTATTTCATCTTGGCGATAAGTTAGGTATATGTCGAGACTAGGAAGTTTTATAAGTTCTACGATGGTTTACAGTATACATATGATTATGTTGAACGTATAGCTTATAACATGATCATATAATTTTTTTAATCAAAATTTTGCAGTGTTTCGATACCCTGAAGGATATCACAACGTGTTTAAAGTAAACGGTACGGGCTTCAAGAATTGTGATATTCTGCCTGGAAATATAGCTCTCACTTCTGGGAACGATACGGTTGTTCTTAAGACTCCGGGAAGGAAGTGGTACATCTGCGGTGTTGCTAACCATTGCTCCAGTTATGGCCAAAAGCTTGCGATCTTTGTCCAATATCCAAATGGTTTGGCACCACCAGCCGGGGCTCCAGCTGCACCTTCGGTGCCAATAACACCAACTGAACCTTGGGCTCCAACTCTTACACCGTGGGCACCAGTTACACTTTCGGTGCCGAGATCGCCAATCGAACCTTGGGCACCAGCGCCTGCACCATGGACACCTTGGGTACCTGCAACACCAACCGAACCTTGGACTCCAGCGCCTGCACCACAGACACCTTGGGTACCTGCAACACCAACCGATCCTTGGGCTCCAGCTCCCTCACCATGGACACCTTGGGTACCTGTAACACCAACCGAACCTTGGGCTCCAACTCCTGCACCTTGGGCACCAGTACTTACACCTTCGGTGCCAGCAACACCAGCTGAACCTTGAGCACCGACCTCATCTCCCTACCCATACTTATGATTCGAGTAATGAGTTTGAAGCCATATCATTGGAGAATGCTTTAATGACACATGGGAAGTGCTCATTTTAATAAATTTGATTTTTGAGTGTCCCAAACATTTATTGTTTGATGATAATAATTTTTATATACATGTAAGTTTGATTTACAATTAATAAATATAAAATTCATTGAAAGTTTGATTTTTAAAAAAAAAATAAAATTATGTAAATTTAAAAAATACCATATATGAAACACTTAAAATTCATTGAAAGTTTGATATTTTTTATAATAAAAAACATGTAAATTAGGAAAAAAATTATCACATAAATACATGTAAAATATCGATGAACTCGTCTTATTATATCATATGAATCTATATGTTTATTTTAATAAAATCATGTAAACTTAAAAAATTTCATCTATATATCACTTTAATGTCTTCTCCAACCACTTAAAATATTGACGAATTTATCTCTTCACTCTTGATCATTTTATCAATTTAAATTTTTTAAAGATCTCTTTAAAGCTTGTAGAACTCAACATAAAACCTAGAGAAAAACATTTTGAATTTATAGTTTCCACCCTTTAACAGTACATAATCATAATATATAATTTTCCTCTTTATTTTTTCAATTCTTTTATTATTGAGATTTGAAATAAAATATTTTAACACTGAAAATTTGAAGAAAATTTAAAATGTTAGTGGTAAATAAATTAGGAAGAAAAATAATAAAAGTAGTTGTGGATTAATCATTATAGTCTAATCTATTTTTTGGTATTTGAACTTCTCAATATTTGCGATTCCAATCTTAATCCATATGTAGTTGTTAAGTTTATTTAGTTAAATTTTATCATTAATTCTTATATTATGCCTTTTTTGAAAATTTAATTTTAATTCTCTAATTTGGTCATTTAAATCCATGATATTTAGTTATATTATACATGTATATTTAGGCATGATAAAGCTATTTGAACCTGACCTTACTCTATAGAGTCATTTATAATATAAAAAAATCAATTTTAGATTACACTTTATGAAAGATAAAATCAAGTCTAGGTTAGGTTCAGAGTGAAAATTTCTCGACCCGATCTAAAATAATAATAAAAATCTCTTGGATAATTAGTATATTTCTCCTATATATAAATATGTATATTGATTTTCTTCATATTATTTTATCGAATGAAAATGGGAGAAAAATAAGGATGTTTACTATACAACCTCTGTATATATTTTCAATAATCTTTTTATTTTTTAAATAAAAATGAGAAAAAATATTTATTTATTTTAAGTCAGATTAGGTTGGGGCGATCAAAATTCAAATCGGGTTAAAAAAAATATATCAAATGTCGGATCGAGTGAATTCCATCATAATATCGTTTTATTTTGCGCGTAGATTTTACAAATTTTAAACAAGGAATTACTTCTCAGAAACCATAACATTCTGTATAATACTTATATGCAAACAGCCCACTGGCCATTAACCCTAAACCAACCGCTGCGATATTTGCCTTTGAATACGAATATTGAGCGGCAGAAACAATCTGATTCTTCATATCTTCCGTTGCTTCTTGGAAAGTCTTCTTAATTTCCAATCTCGGCATCGAGATTTCGAATTTATTACCTTTCTTGGGCAATTCTAGATTGAGATTCCCATTCGAAAATAATGCACGAATCTGCTCTAAATTGTAATAATCGCCTAGGATCTCGATCGCCTTCTTCAGACGCCTCGGAGATTCCGCGGTGATTGATATTTCATATCTGTGTTCTTCAACGTGTTTAAGTCTGGCTTTCACGTCTTCGATTTTGAAACCTAAGAATCGTATTTTAAATCATTAGATATCTGAAAATTTTCTCAAAGAGAGGAGTAAAATACCATACCATCAAGCTCGATATGAATTGTATCGTAATCTTTTCCTCTCTTCCACCGGCAACAGGGCTCAAAATAATCTTCCGTCACTGTTTCCATGGCTGCTTTTACTTTTTCTTCACCAAATGAATTTAGATTCTAAAAGTGAGAAATGGTAATCTGTGGAGTTTGTTATGTAAATGAGGAAGGGTTTGTTAGGTTTATATAGAGAAATGAGGTGATTGTTGAGTGGGATTGGTATAAATTGTTTCTTAGGGGTTTCCCCTTAGAATAGAATCATATTCTACATTTTGGAGTTCATTCCCAATGTTACTTTTAGATCATTCATTCCTTCCTCAATCTAACAAACCAAGTGTCTTCGGTAACAAAAGAATTGTTATTATTCAGTTCAAGCATAAAAAATATCCGCAGTTTAAATATTCAATATTAAATGATTTCGTACCATTAATCCATCATTTTTGCCATTTGAAACCACTGTGAATTAAATTTTTACAAAAACAACAAAATCATACACAATACGAAAAGAAATATAATTTTATTTCAAGAATAATCGAATTAAACACAAATTACTATCAAACGCTAACTTTAATTCCACTACATCAATAGGTAAACAACAACCTCAAGGCCTTCAATTCGACACTTCATTAAACGGAAGAAATTAGTCGGACCTTGATGGAACTACGGCGGAGCCATAACTCATACATGGTCATGTAAAACGCATCAAAATCCAACGGCGGATCATTCCACTGGAAATGTCTACGAACCTTCAATGTATTACTTTGTAATAATGAATACTCCTCTAAGCTAATCCTTTGAAGTATGTTCTTCAAAACGGGGATGTCCAAGTAATGAACCACAACCGAGAAGCTTTCCCAATTTAATACGTCCACGAATGGGAGGTCGTAATGATTTGCCAGAATCACCGGAACACAGCCATAATATATCGCATCCGCTACACGAGCGGTGTTCACTTCGAAGCCTTTGACATGGAGGCAGAACTTTGCGTCCAGCAGTTGGTCGTCATCAGGTGTTCCGAGCCGCCCGAAGTGGGCGAAAATGGCTGTGTCGTTTCCCCAAAATTGGAGAAGAGCTACTCGTGCGGGTGAGTTGATTGTGCCGGCAAAAAACGCCAGCTGCTTTCTACAATTTCAAACATATAATCATGTTACACGTTCAGGTGCAAGTATGTATGTTTTTTTATGTAAATTACATATTAATTCACTTAATTATTTACTCAGTTTCATTTTGATCACCTAACTATTTATTTTTTTAAAATCATACTTAATGTTGCATGTTTGTTCTATTTTGATCATTCGCTGTTAAAAAACTAACCAAACTACCGAGGTGACATTAACTTATGATGAGGTGTCGGTGTCACCATTAATTTTTAACAGATGTTGACCAAAACGAGACTAAAATGTAACGTTATAGATATATTTTTTTAAAAATAGTTGAATGACGAAAACGAAACTACGAGAATATGTGGATGGCTAAATATGTAGTTTACCCTATTTTTTAAGACTTTTGATGAAATGAACCTTTTTAATGAAGCAACGTCGGGAGGGCTTCCCTGTCGAGGCCAAATTTGCGGCATCGAAGCATCCTTGTGAGGAACATATCCAGCAACAAAATACGACGAAGAACAAACGACTTGAATCACGTTGAATTTAGCTTCAAACACTTCATCCATGGCGAAACGCCCGATGGAATGACAGGCAACGTAGAAATGATCAGCCCCATCGGTTCGATTCCAGTAAGGATACGTTTGAGTGATATTGTAGATGTACTGTTTGATGAAATTCCCCATCCCTTCAGGACCGATCCTCGGGTCATGCCTCATTTCGACGATGGAGAATGGCATAAAGAAAAGGTCTGCTTCGCTGGGGTTCTCCGTGATGAAATGGCTGCCGGAGATTACTTTTTTGAAGTATAGTTCGCTAGCGTAATGGCCCTTGGGATCGTAATCCGCCGGCAATAATACATTAGCATAGGGATCGTCTTTGTCGTGTGGATAAATATATATCTTCAAGCTTCTATTCATTTCCTTGTAATCTTCTTCAAACAAATCTTTATCATGGTATATCTCTGTGTTATTTGCATAGTTTCCTGAAACACAGAATCGAAGAGATTCATCCTGAGAATATAACCTAAAAGCTAGCATTTCTCATAGCAACTTAACACTAAATTTAAAAATGAGGATCCAAAAATTTTAATACTCTTTTTATCAATATAATGGACATGCAAACTATCATCTTCCTTTAATAAATTGAACTATACTTAATATTTAATCTAAAACAATGGGTATGCATTTGACCCTTATGAGACCATATGCATCAGCCCTTGCTGACCACTTGAGTGTAAATGAACAGAATGATTCCAAATTGTTTGTAAACTATTTTTATAACATATATTTATATTTGTTTATTGAGATAAATAAACATTATGAATAAAGTTTTTATATTCATTCAATAAACGAACGAACGTGAATAAAAGTGTGTTCGGTTCGTTTATGTTCACAAACAAACTTGTTTCTCATTTATAAACTCATTTAATTGGTTCTCATTTACCTTTTTTTTTGCATTTTAAAGATGGGTGAAGATAGAAACAAAATGAACAAGAGATGAACTTTGAAGCTGAAACTATGAAGCTTAAGGAACATAATGACTTAATTTCATCATTTTTCTTTAGCTTACAAATGAAATGATAAAACGATATATATTAGTTTATAAGCTCGTTAAATGAACATATTTGCGAATGTTAAAAGAATATATTCATGAATATTAAATGAACGAATACGAATATTTTTAAAAATAAATGAGCGAACACAAACACAATATTAAAAATTTAAACAAATACGAACCGAACATAAACAAACAACCATGAACATAATATCATTTGTTAAAACTCGGTTTATTTACGCCCCTGCTTACCATATAAGCCAAAAAGTTTTCCCGTAGACCACTGGTTCCCTTTTGACGGAGGAGATCTGGGTGAAAAGAACAGTTCATCGGCTGCATTTTCAAATGAGAATGGGATCATTTGTTGGATTAAAGAAGATATGGGGGAAGATTCTTGGTAAAGATTGTTTTCATTATGGGTGAAAACTTTTGATGTTGTACAAAAATTGTAGAGAAAAATAAGAACAAGGGTGGAGATTGCTAAACTTAAAGGTAGGAAAAAGAAAGAGCCCCCAAAAGATGTTGAGCAACGATGCTGGGATATTTGGTGGCACAAGGAAGAAGAAGACTTCGCCATGGAAGCAAAGACGAACTTAAGCGATGGAGCTTCAAACTACAATCATTAAGCATATGTATGCATGGGTGCACTAAATGGTGTCAAGATCATGAGAAATTAAATGGAAAACGCGTATTATTAAGAGCTGTTGTCAAATTATTCAGTAGTTTTCAGAAATAAAAAGGCCATTAACTCATTTATAAAGACATTCGAACATGTTTATATGGAATATCTTTGCTGATGTATGTAGCCGCTTTCACGGGCGGAGCTAGAAAAAAATATTGAGTGTCAAATTTAAAGAAAATTTATTTTAGAGTGTCAAATTTAGAAATTATACGAGGAGATCTTTTAAAGTAGATGAAAATAATTAATGATGCCAATTATATTTAAGGGTGTCAATATCGTTTAATAATATGTTAATTTTGGGTGTCATATAAGCTTGCTCTGCTAGTGCTGTCACTAGGGGTGCTTCATGAAATGAGCAGCTCCAATTTGATTCGGCCAAAAATCGACTCGATTTGAGTTCTTAACGAGTTGAATCGAGTAAAGTCCAACTTGATTCGATAAATTCTCGAGCAACTTGTTAATTTTTTTAATAACTTTTTAGTAGTTATTTTAAAAAATTCATTTATTCAAAAAAATTACTAATTTACTAATAGATAATAAAAAAATATATATAAATAACCAATCCATTAATTTTTTAGTAAATAATTAAAAATGCTAAAGTATTAATTAATAATAATTATTTTACTACACCCAATAATCAAACCCTAATTATTATTTTAATGTATCTATGGATTATTGTTTTGATGTTTAGGCTTTTAATTTGTTTTATACACTCTTGATATAAATTTTTCGTTAAATTTATTAATTTATGTTAATATTAAGTTCTAATATTAGTAATTTTATTTATAGTTAAAATAAAAAAATAAAAAAATCAGTGAGCTTAATGAGCACGAGTCGAGCAGCAAATTTTCTTAATGAACATGAGTCGAGCAAAATTTTAACGAGCTTAACGAGTAGCAAGTTAAGCAATAAAATATTTTAATGAGCACAATTCGATCACTATCCAATTCACAATCGATTCGTTCGATAAGCACCCCCAGCTGTCACCATGTTTTCATGTTTGAAAGGTGGATAAAACATGTGATAATGACCTAATAGAATTTTAAAGGGTAAACTACGCCAATGGTCACTCATGTTTGGGTTAGTGTTCGTTTTCACCACATATGTTTTAAAAGTCACAAATCTATCACTAACGTTATCATTTATTACAAATTGGTCATTGATTGTTAACCGCCATTAACAAGAGTGACAGAATACACAGTTGGACTGTTTAAAGCTTACTTGGACTAGGTTGATAGCTACATGGAGTGTCAAATGTCTGGAAATGAACATGAAGAAGATGAAGAAGCAAAAGAGGTTGGAAATGAAAGCAAAGTGAAATTAGAAGAACAAGATGCGCTAGTCCGATACTGTAACACTCATAGTCTGTATACATTTCATAATACGAACTAAAGATGTCACATCAGCTTAATAGATATTTGCTGAACATAAATGTTTAAAATTTTGTTGCAGTTTAAAATACCCTTTTCTTACAATTTAAAATTTGTAATTTCTTTAGCATGCATAGTTATAACATAATAATTTATTGTTCCAAACAAGGCTGATTTTTATGCAACAATTAGACAGTTTCATGTTGTTTCATACCTATATACATATGCCTAATATTGCCTGATTTAAATCTTTTTTAAAACCATTTATAATATTCATTCATAAAAACGATTATAGCTAAAATTATCCAAAATTAAAACAATCCAAAATTACTATTACAAACCCTTTATAAAATAAATCTGATAAAGCAACCCAATGGTTATAATGTACATGCCACTAATAATTCAAAGTTAGGATATCTTATTGATATTGTCGGTAGGTTTGATTCCCATAAGATGCTGGCAAGCTCCTCACTTCACGTCATCTACTGTATTCGAACCTACGCATGAAAACCATCACATGTTAAGTAAAACTTAGTGAAGCAACTACATAATTAAAATTATATAAAATATAAATTTCGTAAAGAAACATTTAAACTTTCAAACCGAGTTGATCAAACTGATTTTCCCTTGAAACCTGAAAATCATCCTCTCATAATTTCATCAAAAATCATGTAAATCAATATCAAATAACATAAACAATTCATATCCTAGTCATTCATACATATTTCAAAACTTTTCATTTCATTTTCATATTATGTCTGATAAAATAATAATATCATGATTTATGTTAACTGAAACGTCGTTCATAACTTTCATGTTTATTTTTATAGCCCAATGCATATTTATGAGAATATAAGGGACGTGAGTAGAACTGAAAGGCGCGCACTAGGCACTTCAGTGCCAATCATAACTGAAATTGAAACATATAATGCACTTCAATGCAATCATCACATGAGCACCAAATGTACAGATAACTGGAAACTGATTACTGATAAATACTCACTTAGTAACATGTCAATTGTACCTATGACTCTCAATGCAACATACAAGAGGCTTTAAGATTGTATCTTGTTCGTTTCATAATCAATATTTCAATTCAGAATCATTTTCCAATCATTCTAATAAAAATCATAATTTAGGTAATTCGCACCCTAAACATTCATAAGACATATAAACATTATGAAAATAATAATCCATGCTTAAGATAGAAAACATACTTCAAGTAATACGAGGTTGACTTATAACAAGTCCAAGTCGTCCTCAATCAAAATAGCTAAATAAGTAAATTGCATTTACTTTGACACTTGAGTAATAAATCAAAATATAAGTCTCACTAAGCTTTAGAATTAATTCTTTGTTCTCAAATGCTTCAACTATCCAATTTTATCAAAATTCCATGTTATGGCAGTTTGCACTACCTTTAAAGAAATATTATTCTATATTAATATACATACTTTAAAATTATTCCGTTAATATAAATGGAAACTAGACTCGAATGCAAATCTAACCATATAAGACACTTCTTCTAGTTTAACTTGTATAATTTATAACGAATTTTCAAAGTTGACTTACATAAGTTGTTTTGAGCAGAATCTGCTTCCTGTTTTCTGACCTATTATTGATTAAAAATTCATATTTTTTTGTATACACCTCGAAATCAGTAGTCGTTTATTTTAGAAAATAAACTATACTGAATACGAATCCAATGGTATAAAATTCATCCTCTAATCATTCATATATAATTTATGGTGAATTTCTAAACTTACTATTTGAATCATGAATTTTTAGACAACTTTCCTTAATTTGCATCCTTAATTCTTTTCCGTAATTCTATAAGCTTAATAAATGAACATATAGGCTAGAATCACAATTCATATAACATTAGGAATCATTTTTATTGTAGTAATTCCGACACTTGCTCAACGCAAGCCAATGTGTTCGATAACATAAATACAAATTAAATGCACTCACATTTGCCTTGCCATCAAACATTCTCCACGATAAACTTCTCGATCTCAAACTTTTTCCTTCCCTTTCGAGCTACTCAAATCACTAGATTTACCGTGGTATGATGACGTCATATAATAACATAGAATGTTCATGCTACATGTTAGTATCAAACTAACATAATCTAAGTGCAATTATAAAATTTGATATAAATAAAATTGATACTTAAATCATACTTCCATCATAATTTCAAACTTCTCAAAATATTTCTTTAAATTTCATAAGTATTTATTTCCATTATCAAGACTTCAACTTTTTCCAAATACAAAATCAAGCCACTAATTATGAATTCTTTCTAGAATTCGCCTTAACTTTTCCATTAAATTCATAATAATCCCTCACCATTTAGATCATTGCACTTTAATTTCTAAAATTTCCAAAACTGTATCAAAATTCATAAATCAATACTTTAACATTCAAAAACTTGCAATTTCATCCTAAATTTTCATAGACTTTTTGAATTCGACCATCCATCTTTATAAACTTAAAATTTGATCCCAACTCAATATATGAACTTAAACGTCAGAATGTCCATAAAATTTCTATTATTTTAATATTTTACCCAAATGATACATTCACATTTAATAAACTTGAAATCAAGTCCCTATAATATTGAGACCTTTTGAATTCTACCTTTAAACTTTACCAAACTTGCAATTTGGTTCCAATCAACTTTCTAACTTAAATTTCCAGCATTTCAAATATTATAAATCAGCATTGAACCCTTCAGATATCTAATTCTTGCAATAATGTCCCACAATTCTCAAAACTTGTATATTAACCCTTTTTCTTATTCAAGCTTCCAAATTGATCTCCAAGTCACATAAAACACTTCTAATATCAATACAAGACCATAGGAATTATTTCAACATTTTCCCACTAAATTGTCCTAATGGCCGAATACCCTAAGTGAATTAGGGCTTGATTTCCATTGAATTTCAAGCATGAATTCAACCTCCTAACATTAAATTCATGCATTTCCAATCATCCTAACATCAAATTAAATCAAAATCCTTTCAATCTCCATAAACCCTAATTTGGTCAAGCCTAACATAAGGCTTTACACATGATTTTAATCATCATATATGCTTTAGGATTAATCGCTAACATAAAAAACATAAAAATCCTTCATCAATTCTTCAAAATCCATAAACCCTATATAAACTCTAACTTTCAATCTCAACACATAATCATCCTCACCATGAAATATTAGTATCAAATGATAGAGAATTTCATGAATTTTAATTCTCTATCTAATAATAGCTTAATCCAAAAATCAAGTGTATGATTTAAAAAATCAAAATAAAATTCTTACCTTGGTGAGCTTGGTGGTTTTGGCCAAATGAAAGAAAATGGCTGAAAATAAGTTGATTATCTTGATTATTCTAGTATTTAATAATTAATGCACTTGGCACTAAACCAATTTAATTGAATTTAAAATTCAATTCTTAAGAAATTTCATTTTTACCATTAATGAACCTTGATAATTACCAAATGTCATTGCCTTATTCTCCATTAAAATATTCTTTAGTCAAAGATAAATCAACTTGGCTTTTACTTTTCACTTTGGTCATGAAATTTTCAAATATTGCATTTAATCACTAAAATTCCATTGTTAGAACAAATCTGAAAAATTACACTGATATGAGTTAAATTTCTCTTATCTAAATATGGGAATAATATTTTCAATCATTTTCTAACATATTTTAAATTTTTGTAAAATTCCGGTTTGATCTGATTATCCGATTTCACTACCGAACTTTATCATTTTATAGCTTTTAACACAAATCTCGTACCGAAAAATATGTTTCCCACGAAAATTCTTGTTTTAATTCAAAATTTTCATTTACGGTCTAAAATATATAAATTTTTAAAATTATATTTTTAGTCCCTAAACTCTTACAAATGTATACTTTAGCTACCAAACTTTTAAAACTTACATTTTAGTCACTACCCATAATTTGAGGTTACAGACATTGTAGAAGCTAATGGAAAATGAATAAATGGGTGAAGCAATGAAATGCATGTTTTCTTGTGAAGCAAAAGAAGAACAAACAATTCTAGAAATTGAAACTGGGGTTGAATATATTTTGATGAAGGATGAAAATACTGAACTTGAAAAACAAATATAGAATACCAAAATGAAGACATGAAAATGTAGTGAAAGAGACCCAACAAGAATCAACAATAAAACTGCAAATTTTAACTAAACTTTATGATTTCCCCATTGAATACATGCTACAACAAGAAACTGAAGCCGATGAGTAAGAGGAAGAAAGAAAAGCTCAAACTAGTTGAAGAATAAGAACTCTTTTTCAATCTTATTCTTCTTCCAAAATAATTTATTTCTCCATTTTCACACTTTCTTTAACCTTATTCTTCTTCCTCATTACCAAAGCCTCCAGTATCGAACTATCTTTCTCCATGATAAAAGAAGAAATCTTGTCTGTTTTATTCTTCGGGTTCAATTTGATTGATGAGTTTAAGAGTGAAAGGAGAAAGTGAAACAACCTATGGGTTCAACAATGGAGGTATCCAAGAAGGCTTGGGTGTGCAACACGAATTTCATCAAATGGTTACCGGAGAAAAGGCAAGAAACACTAGTTCCCCTCAAGTATTTCTTCTCAGGAATCTTCATTTACATGCTCCCAAACACCATTACCACGAACCAAACTACCCAAGAAATGGGAGCTTGTGTTTAGGACTTTCCATATTTAAACCAAGCCTTATCTTCAATTCTCGATATTGAAATCATTCGCCAACGTATCTTCTTTCGTCGATGTAGAAGGTGAGAAAGAGGAAGAAGATGAAGCACGAACCCATGGTCAAGGAGTCTTCCTTTCTTTATGAAGTCTTTAGGTCAATGAGTCTTCCTTTCTTCTTCTATTGCTTTTAAATGGTTACTAGAGAAGAGGAAGCAACCGATAGTCAAACTAAAGGACGGTGGAGATGAATCCATGGGAAGAAACATCGTTGACTTGACTCACTCTTGTTAACGGTGGTTAACGGTGAGTGACCAATTTGTAACAAAAATAACGTTAGTAACCGATTTGTAACTTTTTAAAATATTAGTGACCATTGGCGTAGTTTACCCTATTTTAAATGCATGTTAAATTTCAAGCGTCACATCTATTCATATTGAGAAATAAAGGAGAATATCAAACTTTTTTTTCAGCTATAACGTGTCATGCCGTTGTGGTTTTGGTTTCATTTTGGCAGAATAACCTTTTTGACCATCTAATTTTGTTCATTTAGTCATATTAACCCTTAAATTTTTTATTACATCTCTTTTTACCTTTGTTCTTTTATTAAATTAACCCAAATATAACAAAACAATATCAAATTGTTAAGATAGGATTACTGTTTCATCTTTATTGAAATACTGTCATTAGCTATTTTTTCTTCTTTTTTTGTCAGGCCATAAAAAATCCAAATTTATTAAAATTTGTTAAAAAAATAGCCGAATCAGTATTTCAATAATGTCAAAATAATTATTTTTATTTTTTTACATGATGAGACAGGAAAAGATAAATGGAATAAACATCAGCTTTACAACTTCATTACTTTTAATCACATTTAAGTCAATTTGAAAAAAATAAAAGTTTGAAAACCAAAAGAGAGAGAATAAAAATTTAAGACTAAAATGGCTAAACTAGTCAAATTGAAAATCCAAAAAGTCATTCAACAAATAATTTTTATAGTATAAAAATATTTTTTTAAATGAAAAAAAAAAAACTTTAAAATAATTTTACACTCTCTAGCCTTCATCTTACAGAAACATCGAGCACTCAAATGGTATATATCCTGGCATTTTTACCAAAAAATTACCCTGAAATAAATTAATTATTTGTCAAGTATTGTTTTAAAAATTTTCACATATGGCGTCAGCTCGGGTAAGTTGCGTCGAAAAAGTACTAGATCGATAATTTTTTTTAAATGATACCTGACAAGTAATTAATTCATGTTAGAGTGCTTTTTTAGTAAAAAGGCCACTAATGACATGAAATTTTGTCTGCACGGGTCTCCTTCTATTCTCTGCTTTTATTATTATTATTTTTTTGAGAAAACAACACTGTATTTATAGGGTAATTTCACTTTGATCAACTTTAAAATTCATTTGACCATCATTAAAATTTTAATTTATTTTTACTTTAATTATTATATTTAATTATTGTTAATTATATATATTAAAAATTTTGATAAATCTTTTTAGATTTCAAATTGACATCCATAATAAATGTCAATTTTTCGATAAACAAAATGATTTTTTGAAAAATTTTATTTGATTTAAAGATTAACATAATTATAAGAAGAAGAAAATAATTGGGCGATCTGTATATACATTAAATGAAATAATATTCTCTTATTAAATATATATTGTTATTACGTATTTTCATACTTCTAATTTATTTGAAGCTCGATAAAATTTATTACTTAATTCTTAGTTGCGACTTCATTCTTAGTTGCGAAATTAAGTTTTTTTTTTTAATTCCATAAATGATTTTAAAAAATCTCATGTCATTATTTAATAAGTAAAAAAATAATAAAATTAATTTTATCTCACTTATAAAATTAAAATTTTCAATATCAAATCATAATGGTACATAAATATTTCGTTGGTGCTTCTGTTCAATGCTAATTCGTTTTACTATCAAATAGTAAATTAATTAAACGTTAATCACAATGTAGATTTGGCAAATTAAGCAGTGTTTTAATTGACTAAAACACAGCAATGCAACATACAATGTAGTCGCCCCCTGATTCTATCTGAAAATCTTAGAAAAAATGCAGCAGATAACACCCACTTGGCCACTTGCACTTCACATTGTCAAAAGCAATACTTCCAAAGAAAAAAAAAAAGTAAAAAGAGAAGAGATTTTTCGGACAATAAATAAAAGGAGAATTCGCGGTTTTATAAATAAATAAAAAATCACTACGTCAGTGAAATGATGTTAGATTTGTAAAATTTTCTGAAACGGTGCATGAAAAATAATTAATTCCTGTTAAGTTGATTTTTTAGGTAAAAACGCCATATATCCTTTCCCACTAAACCTAGACAAGAAAGAAATTAGACATAACAGTCCTTTTTTTATAATAATAACAATGATAAAAGCAAAATTAGCAACTGAAACACTACAAAATATTAAATCCATCTATTTATAAAGCAAAAGCAAGCATGAACTTGATCATCCAAAGGATGAAGATGGAAGCAATGACAAATCAACGAGTTCAAGAGGTAGAGTCTTGGGAGTAGAATATCGATCCCTTAATTATTACAAACGAAATATATAAATATTTAAGAAATCGAATAGAAATTAAGGGCACTTGAGCTTATTGCCATGAGTTCTGAGTTTCGCATAGCAAGGACAGGCACTCTTGTGGCCGTAAGTCCCCGGAGGAACGCACTGGCATCTCTTACAGCACGTCCCGCATGCTCTGTAACAGACATTCTTTCTCGATGCCTTCCTGCACCGCCTGGAGCATGCATATTTGCAATCTGTACAATTCAATTTCAATTATTCTAATTAATTAAAAACTAAGGGTTTAGTTACACTTACATAGTTAAGAATATAACACTTACTGATTCTCTTGTGATAGTGATACTTTTTGTTAAGAGCCACCATGTCACTTGCTTCATCCATCTGAATTATAACAAAATGGGTATATATCCATGCATATGTAAATACAAGAAAAATGTAGGAAAATAAGTACAGAAGGCTCACATTTGCCAGAGAGTTGGCATTGCTGCTAAATGCAGAAGCCTGCACCAAAGCCTGACACAGAAGAAATTACTAGATAGATTCAGTAGGAAAATTTGCAGTGGAAAGGAAAACCATTATTATCAGTGAAGCTTACCTGTATAAGGATGGCAAGTAGAAGAAGGAAGAAGAAGAGCTTCATTTTGTATCTCAAATGGTTGCTGGGTTGGATAAAATGATAGGGTTATTGATTGTTGAAACGGAGACACAAGTTTTATAGGCATATATTAAAGATGTTTTTGTTGCTTTTTGCCACTATCTTTTGAGGATCACGTGTAAAGATTACTGGGAAATCACAGGCATTGAGTTGGGTGAAGCTGGAAAATGTTTAGGGCAAAAAGATTAGTTTGCACTGCTGTTTTTGGAAGTTGTTTCTGTTCTGCCCTTTTTTATTAATGTGCGTTGGTCGTATATGGTGTCTGTCTTTTCGCTGCACTGCTGTGCTCGTGTTCTTCACGTGATTTTATTTCCTTTTATTGGTCATATTAGTTTATTATGCAGCCATGCAACGATAGATAATCACGGAAGCATAGTTCAAGTTGAAGCCTACTGTCTTTTTTCTTTAATTGACTTTCAAAAATAAATAAAATAAATAATTATATAATACGACAAACAATCTAGTAATATTCTGGTTCCTCTTCGTCTTCAACGCCTTCTGCCCCAACTTCCTCGTAGTCTTTCTCTAGAGCAGCAAGATCTTCACGGGCTTCCGAGAATTCACCTTCCTCCATTCCTTCACCTACGTACCAGTAAACGAATGCCCTCTTGGCATACATGAGATCGAACTTGTGGTCGATTCGAGAGAAAACCTCGGCCACAGCGGTGTTATTGCTGATCATACAAACTGCGCGTTTTACTGGATCATGATCACCGCCTGGTACCACCATCGGAGGCTGATAGTTGATGCCACACTTGAAAGCTGTAGGACACCTAAGAGACAAGACGCGTCACAATCATTTTAATAACAAAACCGGCCGAAGGCAAAATTGACGTTTCCTCGGAAAATTCTACCTAATAGGGATCATCAAATTGTTAATGCGTAAATTTTGGACCTATAACGTAAGATATGGATACTAATCAGTATACAAACTGAACTGCCCGTTTAGTTTTGATGGTAGCAACAGCGCCATTGACATCCTTCGGTACAACATCCCCAATGTACATTAGACAGCATGCCATGTACTTGCCATGTCTCGGATCGCATTTTGCCATCATGCTTGAGGGTTCAAAGACGACGCCTGTAATCTCGGGAAGTGACATCTGCTCATGGTAAGCCTTTGCAGCAGAGATTACCGGGGCATACGATGAAAGCATGAAATGGATACGAGGATACGGCACAAGATTAGTCTGAAACTCTGTAATGTCCACATTTATGGCACCATCAAACCTCAAGGAAGTGGTCAAAGAAGAGATAATTTGGGATATCAAGAGGTTCAAGTTGGTATAAGTAGGCCTTTCAATGTCCAAGGATATCCTGCATATATCGTATATAGCTTCATTGTCAAGAAGCACAGCAACATCAGTGTGTTCAAGGAGAGAATGAAACGAGAGCACGCTATTGTAAGGTTCCACGACTGCCGTAGAAACCTGCACACAATCGGGATAAAAAATTGCCCATGAACTGCAAGCCTAATAGTTTCAGTGTATGATAAAACTTGGAAGTCCTCAATGATACCTGAGGAGAAGGGTAGATAGTGAACCCGAGTTTTGACTTCTTTCCGTAATCTACGGACAAGCGCTCCAAAAGCAACGATCCCAAACCTGAACCGGTTCTACCACCAACAGCATTAAATACCAAAAATCCTTGCAGACCAGTGCAGTTATCAGCCAATTTTCTCACACGGTCAAGGCAAAGATCTACAATATCCTTACCAACTGCAACATATGACACCGATAAGAAGTTTAAGCCATTGGTTAGGATCCGATAAAATCTTTGTATTTTGCAAGACGAAAAGATGCCCGTACCCGTATAATGTCCTCTAGTTAAGTTATTAGCAGCATCTTCCTTGCCGGAAATAAGTTGCTCCGGATGAAACAGTTGTTTATAAGTCCCGTTTCTAACTTCATCAATGACAGTGGGCTCTAGATCTACAAATATAGCTCTTGGCACATGCATGCCAGAGCCAGTCTCACTAAAGAAGGTATTGAAAGCGTCGTGGCTAGAACCTACACTGGTGTCACTGTAAGAAAACTCAAATGAATTTTGCCATTCAAATGGAATAACATAGGGAAAAAACAATGAAGGAAGTGATACATTTACGACACTCATTCCATGTTCATCTCTGTTTTCGACAATTGACGAGCATTTGTAGCTATCAAACCATACTATACAATTTCAAATCATGAGCATTCATTGTAGATTCAAGGAAATTATTTGCATTTCAATACATAAAATTCAACCAAATGACCCTATCTCTATAAGATTTACCGGAAATCATAAACATTACAAACAATTTGTTCCATATCTAAATTGGAAATGGAAATGCAAATGGAAGATCATAATATTTTCTATAGAAGTTATATACCATTTCCATGAAACAAATAATAAAAATAACAAGAAGAAGAAGAGACTCGACAAGATTCAGTCAACACATAAATGATGATGATGATACATGCAAAAGCATACATAAAAATAGTAGCATATGCATATACAATACTCACCTAGCCATCATCTCATCGGGTTGAATTCCATGTTCAAGACAATAGAGCTCCCAACAAGAATTTCCAACCTGAATCCCAGTTTAACCAATATGAGTGCTGATAATCTCCCTCATTCTTTTCTCTTTCTCAAAACCCAAATTTCAAACAACCCTCTTTTTCTTTATCAACCCTTTTTTCTCTACGGGTATTAAATGAAGGAAAAGTTTTATGGAAACCCAAAAGAGAAAATGAATGAAACGTTAGAAGTAGAAAAGAAAAGCAAAGATTATTAAAGAGGGACAAAAGAATGTTTAATTAATGGAGAAATTAATTTAGAGTCCGTTGGATGTCCCGCCAACTGCATGGACAAAAGACTATTAAATGTTACAAAATGATAATAGATTATAAAACGTTGTTTTGTTGAGTCATGTACTATTAAAAGTTACAAAATGGTCACTCGACTATTCATTACGTTGCAAACTCGTATTTTTCTGGAAAAAAAATTAGAGTATTCTGAGTTGAACGTTAATCTATTAAGTGTGATATGATAAAATCTAATCCTAGAATCTCAAGCGATTATCATATCCCAATCACCATGTTAATATCCAGCTCAGACAACCGCCAATTTTTAAAGTAAAATGACAAGTTTGAAATATAATGAATAGTCGGGTGATCATTTTGTAACTTTTAATAGTTGAGGGACTCAACAAAACAACATTCTATAGTCAAAAGATCATTTTGTAACTTTTAATAGTCGATGAACTTAATAAAACAATCCCCTATAATTGGGAGACCATTTGTATACTTAACCCAAAAGAAAATTTGGCCAAATATTAACTCCAATTGTTGTTTGAGCCTGTGATTTGCTGTGTATCTTTCATATTATTTATTTTTTATATTTATATAAAATTTACTTCAAAATATATATATCTAAGATACTACGACCAGATGCATGAGAGGGCTTAATTTAGAATTATGGGATGCTAATTTTGAGAGAAGTAAGATGCATTATTTGTTCTTAAAGTATCTTAATTTATACAATTTCGTTTGCGAAAAAGGGTCCTAAAAGAAGGTTCTTAGATAAAATAATATATTTATATCAAATTTATGTTATTTTTATTATATATAAATAAGAGGCTTCTACAAACTTCTAGCACAAGTTCACACTAATAACATATGCAATAATATTATAAAACAAACATCGAATTCCCTCTAAATGGTATCATTTTATAGTTCAACTCAAAAGGTTTCACAAAACCATGATATTCAATAACGGTTCTTATGTCAAAACACAGGATTAGTGAAGGAACATCGAATGAAGCAGAGACGTTCGACGGCCTAACTGTTTTCCTTTCTCATCTGCTCGCCTAGCCTCTCAACCACGTGTTTCGATATGACGAGTTGTCACGCAAAGAAGCATCGTGGGGCTTGTACTCCATTACATAGCTGTGCGGAAGCTTTAAGTGCCGTTTGATTGAATCTCTAAGGGCCATGACAGCCTGGTACGAACAAAACACGATCAAAAACTTCTGACCAGATAGAAATGCAGATACACGAAATAGGAAAATCAGTACGATTCCTAATAACAAACCTGATGATCTGACGCATTACGATTCCATACACTCAATATATCCTCGTTGAAGCGAATGCTCAGCACTGCACCACAAACATTATCTCCATAATCAAGTTGATCCCCAAGCAGGGCAAGAACCTGCAAATGTAAGGAGGAATGAATAATATATAACGAAAGTAGTATCCAATAATATTAAATGTGCATCATCTAGTGCCCAAGACAAGGCACCATTTCAAACAACCAACAACAAACTAATTAGAAATTCAGAACATTTCACGCGGACCCAAAGGCAAAGATACATTTAAGAAGGGCCCAAAATTTCACCATTTACGATACTTCTAACAAAAGCACAATAGCAAATAATAATGTCCTGCACTCAATTTATTTGTTTATTTTATAGTTTAAACCAGGGATAAATCTTTAAAAGAGGAATGAGATTAACATTTACGCCAAGGAAGCCTAAATGCTAGTTTTGAAAAAACAAGATGGCTAAACGTGCTTCTGGGGAAATTTAAATCAGGTTTCAGGATCTTTTCAGATCAAAGGTTGGTGGGCAGTATGACCAATTTCTTCCTCCAATAAACAAACAAAAAATGTACATTATAATCAATTAATCATTACATTCATAATTGGTAATTTCAGGCATTAGACGGGCACCAGTGTAATCAATAGGGGAACATACTGGCTATGCACAGAAATGACAACCTCTATTTGTCTTAAGACACTTATGAAACTGTAGCTCTATATTCGAAAACATTCTATCATTGGTAGATCATAGATGTCAACAAGGAAGCATAGCTCATATGGATATGGAGGCATCAGAGAGAGAGAGAGAGAATAATCAACTCAACAATTTTCAGACTCAACAAAGTAGGTTTTACTGTTAATGAAACTCCATACATGGTATTTGTGTGGGACAAGGACTAATAATCTGAACCTCCATCTTCAACAATGGTAT